AATTTAGCAATGTTCCTTCTGTTTCTATTTTGAGGAGTATTGGTATTAGCTCTATTTAAAAAGTCTGGTAGATTAATTTTGGTTTGAAGTCTATTTTGTTATATATTAGAATAGATACACCAGCTGGCTTCTTGGAGCCATTTGCTTAGAAAATCTTTTTCCAATCCATTACTCTATCTTTGAAGTTGAGGCATGTTTCTTGTGTGCATCAGAAGAATGGATCTTGTTTTCACACTCATTCTGTTAGTCTGTGCCTTTTTATTGGGGAATTGAGTCCATTGATATTGAGAGATGTCAACAACCAATGATTGTTAATTCCTGTTATTTTGTTTTAGTTGTTAATGGTGGTAGTGTGTGTGTGTGTGTGTGTGTGTGTGTGTGTTCCTTTTATTGGGTTGTGCTGGTGTGACATTATTTATTGCCTGTGTTTTTGTGGGTGTAGTTAACCTTATTGAGTTTCCTTCTAGTCCTTCTGTAGAGCTGAATTTGCGGATAGATATTGCTTAAATTTGACTTTATCATGGGATAGCTTGTTTTCTCTATCTATGGTGATTGAAAGTTTTGCTTGCTATAGTAGCCTGGGTTGGCATCTGTGGTCTCTTAGAGTCTACAGCACATCTGTCCACACCCTTCTGGCTTTTAAAGCATCCATTGGGTCTAATTTAATAGGTCTTTCTTTGTATGTTAGTTGGCCTTTTTCTCTTGCAGTTTTTAATACTCTTTCTTTGTTTTGTGTGTTTAGTGTTTTGATTATTATGTGGTGAGGGGTCTTTCTTTTCTGGTCCAATCTATCTGGTGTCCTGTAAGCTTCTTGTACCTTTATAGTCATGTCTGTCTTTAAGGTAGGAAACTTCTATGATTTTATTAAAAATATTTTTGGGTCTTTGAGATGGGATTCCTCTCCTTCCTCTATTCCTTTTATTTTTAGGTTTGGTCTTTTCATAGTGTCTGAGATTTCTTGGATGTTTTGTGTCAGGAATTTTTTAGATTTAACATTTTTTTGACTGCTGTATCTATTCTTGTATTGTGTCTTCAACATCTGAGATTCTCTCTTCCATCTCTTGTATTCTGTTGCTAATTCATACATCTGTAATTCCTGTTTGTTTATCTAGATTTTCCATTTACACAATTCCTTCAGTTTGTGTTTTCTTTATCACTTGTATTTCCATTTTCAGGCCTTGAACAGTTTTATTCATTTCTGTCAACTGTTTGTTTTGGTATTTTCTTAGTTTTCTTGACATTCTGTAAGAGATTTATTGATTTCCTCCAATTTTTTGATTGCCTTTTCCTCAGTTTACTGAAGGGATTTATCCATTTTCTCTTAAAGATCTCTATCATCATCATAAAGTTGGTTTTAAGGTCATGTGTTTATGCTTCAGCTGTGTTGGAATATTCAGGACTTGCTATAGTGAGATGGCTGGGTATTGGTAGTGACATATCACTCCGGTTGTTGTTTATGTTTTTGTTTTATTTGGTTGGTTGATTGCTTTTTTAAAACAGGGTTTCTCTCCTGGAACTCACTCTGTAGACCAGGATGGTCTTGAACTCACAGAGATCCGCCTGCCTCTGCCTCTACCTTCCAAGTGCTGGGATTAAAGGCGTGTATCACTACCACCATCTGAGTGTTGTTTGTGTTCTTATATTTAAGTTTAGGCATCTGAATTTGGAGTGATTATAGGTCTTGGTGCTAATTTCTAGATTTGTCTTTGTTGAACAGATGTTTTCTTCCTTGGTTTCTGTTTCCTCTCTGGTCTTCCAGCTGCTATGTCCTGTGGTTGAGTAGAGGATTTCCATGTGCATTGGGGGCTGAACTTCAGATGGCTTGCATGGCCTCTTGTCCAACAGGTGTTTGCTGCCCATGTTTGGGGCTGGAGTTCTGGCTATGTGCATGGTCTCTGATATGGCCAGGAGTCTTCTGGGGTTCAGGATCCTGGCATGGTTTATGATGGCATAGGATGCTTTGACTGGTTTTCAGGGAGTTGGCCTGGTCTCTGGGATTCAGGATACTAGTCTGGCATCTAGGGTTTAGGATGCTGGCCTGGTCTCTGATGGAGTAAGAGGTTTCTGCCAGATGTGTGTGTGGGCACAGATAAGATGACAAGAAGAGGTGGGGCATTGGGAGTTAAGCTAGTTGGGTGCAGACTGGGCAGGGATGAGGGAGAATGGTTTACTTAGTTTTCAGGGAGCTGGCCTGATCTCTGATGGGGCAGAAGGCTTCCACCAGAGGTGGGGGCAAGGATATGGTGATAATGAGAGGAAGGGCAGTTGGAGTTATGCTGGGCAAGCGTGGGTGGGGTAGGGGGGCAGTCCTACCTGGAGTTCAGGATGCTGGCCTGGCCTCTGGTGGAAGAGGAGGCTTCACCAGAGGTGTGGGCCAGGATAAGGTGACAGTAATTTAGTAATTCCTAAATTAAAAATTCTGCTTGACGCTTTTATAAATGGGAACTCTAGATTGAAGTATCTGAGTGGTTATTTGGGTACCTCCAAAGATGTAAGATGATTTATTTCCATACTTCATGTGCCTGACATATGTACTGACTGGCACACAGCAGGCTCAGTGACTGTAGTCTGGTTATAGCAATGAAAACTCACACTCCTGAATTTTTACAACTTTAAAACATTCTTTGAACAATCCTGTCAGATAAACTGCATTATCATCTCCATTTAATGGATGGGCAAGCCAAGTTCACACAGTCTGTGGACACAGAAGCTGGTGTTGCATTTAAAGAGTCACTCCAGAGGCCCTGTACTAACCCCATCCGTGCCTGCTTCTGACTCACTGAAGAAAGTATGTTAGGCTTGTTGAGGTCTTTTGTAAATAGTCTGCTCATTTTGATATATTAAAGTTTAAGAAGGGCTGTGAGTCATGGGCCTAAGCCTTGGATCTTTGGGTGTTTTGTCCATGAAGAAGCCCTAGCGTGCAGGAACCTGGGGAAAATTGGTAGGTTGTTGTATATATATCTAAATGTACTATTCTTCTTGGGCAAAGACTGGTAATGGCTTTCATGAGATTCAAAGAACTTCATAGTTACTGACAAAAAAATTAAAACTCATAGATACAAAGGAAAACCCTAGGGGTCTTCCTGATACATGATCAAAACAAATGTCCACAAGAAGTTTTAGGCAGATATATCTGAAGACTTTTTCACAAATCACTTTTTAATCTCTTCAAAGGAGATTTTAACTTGGGGGCTGATAGTTAATATTTAATAGGCATAACTAAGTTGTAGGTGTATTAAAATGTCGCTTTGTCCACTCTGTGTCGTTACCAAAAGAAGTTGTTTCACAAATGTAAAAGCTGATATTAACAAGGATAAGAAGAAGAATGTCTAACAGCACGCCAGAAAGCAGGACCCCAGAGCTGTCTAGCTCCGAAGCCAATACTGTCTCACCTTGTGCTCAGATGGGGTCGCTGCCAGAGGCATTCATTGCCCCTGAACTTCACAGAGCAGACCTTTACATCTTTTTGTATGCATCTTCACCTCTGCTTAGAGGTTGAGCTATACACTGTCTTCAGGTCATCTTGAGTTCGGTCCAGCTCCAAATCAATGCATCACATTTGACTAGGTTCGCTTCACATCAAGGCATTCTATTCTTAGTCAAACTTGTCCCCATTGCCATAAAGTAGTTTAGCTCCCAGGGTGCAGTGCTAATACTGGCTCATTTCAGTATAGGGCAGGCAGGCTTCTGATGGCCACAGGCCCTTTCCATCTCTGCTGTCCATTGGCACAAGCTTGCAGCCTTCCTGTTGCCACAGCGGCGATCTGCTTTTCGAAATTCTTAAAACAGGAAACAGGAAGTGGGATATTGCCTCCAGCTGCTGTGTCACTCCCATCCCATCATCGAGTTTGCCTGGGGATTTCTCTGTGAAAAATGGCTTGCTTATTAAGTATTGAAAATAAAAGATGAGCTGGGAGGTGGTGGCCCACGCCTTTAATCCCAGCACTTGGGAGGCAGAGGCAGGCGGATCTCTGTGAGTTCGAGGCCAGGCTGGACCGACAGCCTCCAAAACAATACAGAGAAACCCTGTCTCATAAAAACAAAACAAAAAAAAAATTTCCATGTAGCACTGAGCAAAACACAGAGGATGCCTGTACCTCCCAGGTGTTCTTTGTAAAAGATTGCCTTAGTCTTCCTTATTGTAAGTTAGTCTTTCTAGCACATTCCAAGCAATTACACTGTTTTTGTAAAAGGGAAAACACGCTCTATCCAAATTTTCAAAACTTCAGTGTACATACACTTAAGATTTCATTGTAAAAAGTATCTGTGAATTGTATTCATTTCACAGGGCTGTTATTACCACAAATCACTGCAATCTGACTCATTGACCCCTAATTGAAGTCTGAAGCCAAGGTGTAAAGGGCCCGCTGTTTCCTCTGAAGCTGGAGGGGATCTGCCCTTGCCCTTGCTGGGCTTTTGCTGGTTTGGTGAGTGCTCAGTTCCAGTCCCTGTCTTCACATGGTGTCCTCTGACGTCTCTTCACAGCCTTCTTGCTATGCATGACTGCCTCTGCACTCACAGCTCTTTCCCTCCTAAAGAACAAGTCGACAGGTCACCTGGTGGGTTCCTTACTGACCCCATCTTAACTTGACTTTATCTGTAAGGCCTTGGACACAATTCAACCCATAATTTAGCAGTCACGAAACTGACACATAAAACCATGCCTTGCTGTTTAACTAAAACTGGGTATGATGGTGCACACCTCTGATCCCAGCACTTGAAAGTCAGAGTCAGGTAGATCTCTGTGAGTCTGATCTACAGAGAAAGAGAGTTCCAGGATAGACAGAGCTACATAGTGAGACTCTGTCTCAAAAAGGAAAAAAAAGTTTAACTAAGACATAGCTGTCAAGCACCAGCAGTAGACAGCCTGGCTACACTCAGGGGCAGTGGTTGCTGACAGGCCTGTACTCCCAGCAGCATTGTTGCATCCGAGAGTAAAATTTTCTCAGTTAAAAATACAGCGTTGTGTTCTTGCATGACTGAAAATGCGTTACACCTGATCCTTTTAAATACATTTATTTGGAGAATATTAGTAGCATAATAACTGAACTTCCCAGCTATTACTTCATCAGGTCAGGCACTAGAAAAGTTCATGTGAGCATCTTATGAAGTTCACCACGTCAGTGGCTTCATTCATCTTCTCTGTTACTGCTGATGATTCGTATCCAGAACAGGAAGTTTTCCCAAAAGAATAAATGGGGGAAATGTCAAGAACAGTGGCATTGATGTCTCTTTCTTTATGAAACTTTCACAGCATATTTCAGTCTTGTAGAATCCTTTGTGTTATTCTGACTGTCAATGAGAACCAGGGGGTTGTGCTGATGGTTCTTGACGATGTCCACAACACTTCCGAAGTACTAGGGAAGAAAAACATGGTGAATTAACATCTGTATGTTACCTCCATGCTCTGTGCCTCTCCTCTCCTCTCCTCTGCTCTCCTCTGCTCTCCTCTCCTCTCCTCTGCTCTCCTCTCCTCTCCTCTCCTTTCCTCTGCTCTCCTCTCCTCTGCTCTCCTCTCCTCTCCTTTCCTCTGCTCTCCTCTCCTCTCCTCTCTTTCTCAAGGTGTTCACAGTTACCAGGTCTCAGTTGATATTCTGCTCAGAAGTGTCCATCTAGTTTAACAAAGACTGTAGCCTGCAGGATGGTAGGTTCTGGACCTTCCTGTATTTAGTAAGACCAAAGTTCCATGAAGAGCTTCAATTAGAATACCTACTTAGTCAAGTTACCTCACTGATTAGGATGTAATAGTTTTTAAATGTTTTGCTAAATGAGTTTAAACATTTGCTTCTGAGTTGGGTGTGTTGGAGCACCTTTGCTCCCAGGACTTTGGAGGCAGAGACAGGATGAGCCCAGAGTGAATTCCAGAACAACCACAAAGAAACCCTGTCTCAAAAATAATTAATTGAAAACCAGTTCTTATTGTCATACATGAAACTGCCATGTGATAGGCTTCTCTATATCCCCCACAAAACACAAATTTGATGTGGAATGTCCTTCTGTAGGCTGTGAATATGTGTTGCTTTTATTGGTTGATGAATAAAGCTGTTTTGGCCAATGGTCAGGCAGATTATAGCTAGGCAGGAAACCCAAACAGAGTTACAGAAAGAAAGCAGGCATGAGGTTGGGCGTTGGTGGCACATGCCTTTAATCCCAGCATTCAGGAGGCAGAGACAGGTGGATCTCTGTGAGTTCGAGGCCAGCCTGGTCTATAGAGCGAGTTCCAGGACAGGCTCCAAAACAATACAGAGAAACTCTGTCTTGGGAAAAGACAAAGAAAGAAACAAACAAACAAATGGCAGTGTTCCCACAGTGTTACTATTACGCTAGTGGACTCTTTAAGTAGCAGACCTCATTGGAAGTCTTTACTTCATTCTGGATGTGCCTTTGAGGGCATTGTGAGACCCCAATCCCTCCTTCTTGTGAGTAATTTCACTCTTCCATGATGTACTGACTTACCATGAGGTCCAAAAGTATAAGGCCAGTCTATTACAGACTAAGACCTTCAAAACTGAGTCAATATAAACTTTTTATCTTTGTAAATTGGTTATGTTAGGTATTTTTGTTATAATGATGGAAGCCAACTACAAAACAACTGAGAGAATAAGTTACTGTCAGGATCCAGTACCAAGAAAACTGATTTCCTAGCTACATTTATAATTTTGTTTTCTGAACAAGGAAGGGGAGCTTTATGAATTCTCTCATTTCTACCTATATTTGGCTGCTTGCAAGCATAGAGCTGACTTGATGACAAGGCGGTAATGAAGTTTTATTGATTGTTTGGATGACTAAGGATGCATGGATCAAGATTCACTGGACTAGGCTCAATATAGGTTAATACAATTTTATTTGGGGAGAAGCACTTACACAGGAAACAGATGACCACTGCAAGTTCCCGCTCCAAGGATCCACCCAGACTGCCCTCAGTGACCCGACCCAGAAGGAAGAGAGCAAGCTGGGGTCAGGACCTAGTCCTACCCTCTGTCAGGTCCGCACCTGTGACCACGTCCAAATAGACTCTACAGGTGTGTGTGTGGTGAATATCTCACTACAGATGACTTCCAAGATCTACATACTGAAAAAAATATATTCATAATACTGGACAGCTTCTGAAATGAAATACAGTTGTGTTTTAGATGGCTGGCTATCCGCATGTTAGACTGTGGGGGAGAGGCAAGTGGTAGAGACTTCCACACGCTTTCACTCTTATGCCCTCCTTCTCTGCAGCCACTCAGCGCTTTTGCAATGGTCAGTGGGATTCCTCTGTGAGAAACGCCATGATACAGTCATCTGGGGAGGGAGCAGGTAGGCAGGGAGAAGGCACAGAATGTTGTCAGACCCAACACAGTCAGAGATTTGAAAATGAAAGGACTAGGAGATGAGCAAAAACAAGTTCTTAGATGCTGAATTTGGAGAAGTGTGTCCTGAACTTAACACAGAAGTGGATTTGAATTGAGTTGGAACTGAGATAGAGTTGAAGCACATTTGTGGTTTAAATAAAAGATGGACTGGTGATCATTTAGTTGTTGCTTTCCCCCAGTTCTCCTTATTTATGGTCATATTAATACAGTGTATTTGAGATGCCCGTGTATGTACAGAAAATAACTTGTTCAGCAACTCAACATCTCATGGACAATAAAATAAAGTAGTCATCAATGCTATGAGGTTAATATACTAAGCAAGCCAAACAACTGCATGAAAAATTAAACAATTAATTAATTATTTTTTGCTCTATATGTTATATTCTACACAAATAGAAGTAGAGAAACAGGGGGGAGGGTCTGGGAGGAGAGAAAGAAGGGGAAACTGTGGTTGGGATGTAATATATGAGATAAGTAAAAAAAACGTAGAGAAACAATCTTTAAAAATACATGCATAGTTGATATTAAACAGCACAAATTTTCCTTTTCCTATTTTATGTTCAGTATATTGAAAACATAATTTTTTATAGTTGATCCTCAGCATTGCCAGACACCATTATCATAATCTACTACACAGTTTAGTTCAGGGGCTGCTTAGGCTAAGAGCGGAAGAAAAGTGCTGACCTGTTAGGACAAGAAGAACTAAAGAATTCTTGTTAACTAGTGTGGCTTTTTTTTTTTAAATAAGGAAGCCCAGAGCCTCTATGAGTTCAAAGTTTCTGTAAGAAAATTTCAGGACCTGTGAGTGGGACAGCTCCCAGCTCCCTGCTCCCCGTTTTCATGCCTCTAGAAGGTGAGCTATACTAAAAAGACTTGGAAAGGAAGCCACTCTGTAAGAAACGTTTTTCAAGAGGCTTTTAAGATAGCGTTCCCAGCAGGAAGGAATCAGACAGAGACTTGTACGTAGTTTTATCTTGATTCCTTCAACCATCCATACCTCTTTCATTACCAGTGAGACTTTTGTGATAAATGCCACAATACATTTACTATTTGTTTGGCATGAGGAGCTGTGAAGTCAGGCATAATTGGAAACTAAAGGGCTAGAAAGAAATAGAACAGTTATTTAACTTTGTTAAAAGACAGTGTAATTCTGTTCTTGATTAGTGTTCTCAGATTCGAAAGTTTGTCTTTTCTAATTATGACAAAAGAAAACATTGACATTGGATTTGGCAATGATTTCCTGGATGTGACACAAAGAACACAAGCACCAAAACCAATATGCATCAATGAGAACATATCAGAGAACAAAACAAACAGTTAAAAGGGTACCCAAGTAAGGAAGGGAATATTGTGATACATGCCCAAACTCAGAGCTGGGCAGTGGTGGTGCACATTTTTAATCCCAGCATTTGGGAGGCAGAGGCAGGGGGATCTCTGAGTTCAAGACCAGCCTGGTCTACAGAGTGAATTTCAGAATAGCCAGGGATACACAGAGAAATCCTGTCTCAAAGAACCAAAACCATAACAAAACAAAAATTCCCAAACTCAACAACAGCAAAAACTGTAACACTTGCTTGGAAAGCATACAAAGGAATAAACATTCTGCATGGATGATATATAAGTGGCCAACAGACATATGAAGAGATGCTGAACAGCACTAGAAATTAGAGGACTGTGAATGAGGTACCATGATGCCTCCATTGAGATGGCTGCTATAACAAACAACCCAGAAAATAGCAAGTTACAAGTACTGGTGGGATATGAAGTTGAATGTTGTGTACTGTTGGTGGGGTTGTAAGATGGTTCTGCGTCTCAAGCCTCATACCTAAACATGATCAAAATGGTCCATGACATTGCGCTATGTGTGTCGCTTTTTAGAAAACAAAATAAAGAGTATGCAAAGGCTATTTGATTTGTCTTACAAATGTTGTTCAACCAACAGTTGAAATCATTCATTTAGTGCCCACTAAAGTAAGACATTTTACAACAGTTCTGTAAAGGTGAAAGTGAAGAAGACATAATCCCGGCCTCATCATTGGAGAAGACAGATGCATTAGCAACTGTGATTTAAAAAACAAATAAGCAATGCTGGGTTTAGAAGGGTGTGGCTCTTTCCGAAAGTATCTTCAGAAAATGTTTGTTTCTTCCATACCCTCCTTCCTTTATCCCTACCTTCTTCCATTTTAAAAGTTGAGGTAGGGTCTCACTTTATAGCCCAGGATGAACTCGAACTTAGAATCTTCTAACCTCAACCTTCCAACTGTTGGCATTACAGGGAGGTACCACCACACTCACTCTTAAGTGTCTTTTCACTAGAACCTCGATTGTGCTATTTTCTCTGTTTAAACTGTCCTTTCCACCTTTCTTCCTTTTCCTTCCTCCAACTTTTACCACAGATCCAAATCCAACCCATCATTCTAGATGAGAACAAGTATTCCTTTCTGGGCCACTCATAGGTGTGGTGTGTTGACTGGCACCCACAGGACCATACATTGGAATAGTCATTAGGGAAGAGGCACTATTTGAGAAGGATTAGGAGGTGTGGACTTGTTGGAGAAGTTGTGCTGCTGGATTTAGTGATTCAAAAGCCCACACTAGGCCTGGTGTTGCTCTCTTTGCCTACAGATCAGGCTATAGCTCTAGCTACTCCTCCAGTGCCACGATGTCACCGTGCTCCCCACCATGATGATAGGACTAAACCTCTAACCCAGTTAAATTCTTTCCTTTATAAGACTTGCCTTGGTCATGCTGTCTCTTCACAGTGACTGAACAGTGACAAAGAAAGTGAGTTATTCTTACTCATACTCCAAAATTCCTTTATAGGAACAAGTTACCTAAACAGAAACACTTTGAGCTTCCATTTTGCTCTTAATTAAAGACATTTCTTTTTGTTATTTAAGACCTATGTGAATGTTTTCTTTTCATTGCATAAGCTCATCTTGGCCCAAAATTATAGTATAATGCTTCAAATCAAGTTCTGAATTCTCAAGTCCTTCCCTGGTCACCTAACTTAGTGCCAGAGTTGAACTTCTAGGCCTTGATTTTGGAGAGCCAGTCCATGACCTTGATTCTAACAACCTTAATTTGATTTGGCATTTCAGCTTCCATTTGTAAGTTTTCTTGAACTACTAAATTATACCATATTGTCTTTATTAATGATGGGTGGAAAAAGGGTTTGAGGAGACGGCTCAGTGGATAAAGCACTTGCTGTGCAAGCATGAAGATGGGAGTTCAGAGTCCCAGTGCCCATAAAAATGCCAGCTGGGCATAGTGGCTTGCCTGTAATTCTGGTACTCAGAAGACAGAGCCAGGGGATCCCTAGAGTAAACAGGTAGCTAGAGTAGTCATATTCAATCAAGAGACCCTGGCTCAAACAACAGTGCGGAGAGCCATCAAGAAAGACTCTCAAGTGTTAACCTTGGGCGTCCACATACACGTACATAGACGTGCATGTGTGTGCCACACCCGTGAATACCATACACACAGGCATACATAATTTAAAATTTAAACAAAAAGACTAGCACATATATAACACTTCCTTCTGCTTCCTCATAGGATATATTATTACGCAGTGTGTGTCATATACTATATAATATAGTATGTCAAAGCATGGCATTTCTACTGATGACACGTGTGTGTGTGTGTGTGTGTGTGTGTGTATGTGTTTTGTGTGTGTGTATTTGTATTTTTCCCTTTTTCTCTGGCACCTAATAGAGCATGGTAACACTGTGTTCAAAACATAGACATAGAGCTGAGTTAAAGAGAAGTTACCAGCCACTCATAGTGGTATCCTCCTCAGGATCCCACACTCAGGAGGATTATAAGCTCAAGGCCAGCCTGGGCTAGGGAGTCTCAGGCCCACCCAGGTTACATAATACAACTCTGTTTCAAAATAAGTAAGTTAATAAGTAAATGAATAAATAGAGAAAGAATAATTACTAACCTCTTCACCATTTTTCTTCTTTCCCAAAGCATATTGTTTGGTTGCTTCAATGAACCGTACAGGAATATTATATACTCGCTTATTAAAGAATGCAACTAGTGTATATGGCTGCTTAGAATCATGGCCAGAGCTTTTCCGAATAAGAAATGATCCGTCCTGTTAAATAAAAGTAAAGCACAGTGATAGTGTTAGTTATACTTCTGTAAGCCAGAAACTGGTTTATGAAGTATATTTTATTTTCAAATATTGATTATTATTGATTAGAATTTATTTTATTGTTTTTCAAGAATACTGTTCACAAGACAGATATGCAGACAAACTTGAGTGAAGTCAATGCCAGTGTTTGATGTGTTCCCTGAGGTATTATGCTTGTTGGGATTTAAAAGTATGTAAAAGAGCACAGTAAGATCAAGCCTAGAGTATCTTGAGCTAGGACCCATGTTTTCCAGGTCCCTTAGTGAAAGTCTAACACATTCTTTGTGCAAGAGCTATAAGAAGGAAGTCGAAGCTGGGAATTCAAGCTTTCAGATGAAGAAAACGTTTGTCTCAAAAGACATAATTATGTTAAAGTAGAAAAACTGTAACAGAAAATTTCAATTTATATTAAATATTTTATTAAAATAGTTTAGTATCACATTTTTAAAAAGTTATGAGAAAAACCTGGCCAAAAAGACAGGAAGAAGAAATGCAATAAATTGTGATCAGCTTTAGGAAAGAATTTGAAGAAAATGAAAAAAATCTATTTCAGAAACAAAGGAATGAAATTTACAAGGTCTCTGGGGAGTAAGTGAACTCCAATAGAGATTTAATGTGTGACCCGAGGGAAGCTGTGGGGACAACCATGACATCTAAAATGGAGTGCAGCAGAGTCGGCCAGACGGTGATGGCCACTGGAGAGTGACTCGGAGGCCTTGAGACAACTCTGAAAAGCTTGCCCCTGACTATCCGGGCTCCAGAGGAGATGGAGTCCACCAGGGCTCACTGGAACAGCTACAGTGACGGGGACCCTCACTCAACTCTAGATGGCCCTGCAACCATTTGGCCAAGGGGTTAGCCCTTCCCCTTGTGGACTAGCTAAGGCGATAGACACAAACCTCAGTGACTGTTGTTGATATCAAGGCAGAGCTGTTATTGGCCCACACAAACACACCCTCTCCTCCACCCTGTCTCTCTCCAGGCCACCTTCCCTGGTGTGCAGCACTGGACCACCCAAAAAGGTGGTCATTTTTATCCCTAAATAGTGTGGGCTGGACAAGAAAGTAGCAAAAAACTGAGGAAATCCTCAACTTGGAGACAGCCCTAGAAGGATTTCTGGGCTACCCACAATTCCCAGCTAGGCTGTGCAAAGGAACCCTCACCAGTCAATTGATGACACTTTGACAGGGATTCAGGCTTTAAAAAAAATGGGAGTGCAGAGGAAGTAAAAGGGGAGTTTAACCTTGTATTGTCCTATCCATCCCCAACGTTGAACTCTCAAAAACAGACTGCCAGGTAGTTTGTGCTGCTTCATCCAGACCTTGAGTGGGTTTAAATAGCCCATTCTCCCTCACTCCAAGGCGGGCTTCTGCAGCATCCCCAAACCTCCCCTGCCTCCCACTTTTCTCCATTGTGTGAGGGGCAGTGGAGCCCACAGAGCCTTGAGATTATAGGTAAATAGGAAGGAGACAGAACAAAATGCGTAGTTCCACGAGAGGAGAAAGCACAGGGAAAATCCCTGCGTCTGTACTCCTGACATTACTTAGTTGGACGTATGATGAGCTCCACAGTGTGGGATTTTTAGGTGGCCAAACCTTGTTGGATCTGTGCAGGGCCTCTTCAGCAGACTTGCGGTCACAGGCACCAGCATACCAGGGCTTCCCGTGAAGTTCGGCCTCCTGTGAGACAGGCATTGTGAAGCATGAGTTGATTCTCAAAGTACATGAGCATTTAGGGGAGGAGCGTACACGGGCAGTTTTGCAAGACCAAGACACTAGTGATGTTCATCAACATCTTCACCAGTGATGTTAAAACCAGTTTCGTGGTTTTTTTTTTATCCAACCACAAGGCTTATATGGCTAGCTCACTCCCATTTGGCATTAGCTGCTAAATTTAGTCCTAAAACATAAATGGATCTTACTAAGTTCCTGAACTATATATTATGAATTATGAATATATATGAATTATATATTCTCTTCTCATAGTGCTCTTATTCTTGATGCTTTATAGAGTGTTTCATAATTTCAGTGTGTGTGTATGTGTGTGTTCATGTGTGTATGTGTGTGTGTGTGTGTGTGTGTGTGCAAGCAGGGGTGCACACGTGCCAGATGTCAACACTGGATGCTGTTCCTCAGGAACTGTGTTTTTGAGTTAGCACTGGGCTCAAAGATTAAGCTAGGTAGGCTGGCCAGCCCATCCCAGGAATCTACTGTCTCTGTCTGGCCAGTGCTGGGATTACAAACACATAGCACTACACCCCTCTTTCACTTGTTTCCTTTCGCTCCGTTTGTTGCTTCTGGAGATGGTTTTAATCCTCGTGCTTGTGCAGCAAGCACTGTGCCAACCGAGCCATTTCTCCCATTGCCAGGGTTTCAGTAATATTATCTTACTTGATTTTGGCAAATAAGGATATTTGCTCCCTTATCATCTTCACATTTTGTCTAAGCTCAGAGACTCACTCAAGGGCACACAGGGTCCTTTCTCTGTCTTTTTTATGCTTTTCTGTTTGGTATAGCTTTAACATCATGAGCCTCCACAGGTCTATTCTGAGGAAATTATAAAGTTTAAATAAAATCTATGTGAGAGGAATAACAACAAAAACAACACATTCCCTCACGATTTTAAAGAAGCACTAACTGTTATTCAGGGTATCTGGAACAGAAACGAGAAGAAATGGGTCAAGGTCTTTCTTAATCACTGAAAACACAGGACATTGTGTATCCATCAGATCAGCTCAGTTAAGATTCAGATTCCATCCTCAGCCTTCCTCCAAATTGTCTTCTCAGAAGACATGTCCTTTCCCAGAGTTCACTGTAAACACTCTGATGACATCAAGCTCATGTCTTACCTGGTCTGCAAAAGTGGAATTAGATGACAAGCTACATAATGGTCCATCTACACCTGGGCTTCCCGCTTCTGGAAACCCTAAAAGAGATTTGACAAGTCCATTAATCTTCACGAGTTTCTGTGCAGTTCCAGTGCCTATGTCTCACTACTGAGAGAGCACTGTGGAGCATACACAGAAGCTAAAAATCCTTAGGACAAAGCAGTTCAGAAGTAGCCCCAGGACCCCTTGAAATCTCCAAGAGCCTTCCAGAGGTTTGAGAGGTCTTTGCTTTTTGAAAAATACCTATCTTTGAAAAACCAGGGTTTTCTTCTTGTTTTTCAATGAGAAAGCACAGCAATGAACTGTTAGCTCTAGAAATTTAAAAGTTCTGTCAAGTTGAACCAGGACCAGGTAATGCAAGCTGTAATACCAGCTACTAGGAAACTGAGGCAGGAGGATCACAAGTTTAAGGCCATCCTGGTCTACACATAAGACTCTGTCTCAGAAGTAAATAAGTTTTGCAGAATGTAATCCAGTGTCCCTCTATACACACTCACACACAAATAAACATACACAAACACACAGAGAGACATACAAACACACACACAAACACACAGATATACACACAAATGCACACACACATGCATTTGGTTTGAAATAGTTTTCATGAAAATATTTACATTAGTGTATAATGACTTCATGCAATTTTTAATGGCTTACTTCACAGTTTTTGTTTTTTAAGCTTTGATAATAACAAGCAATCTCTTTATGCTCCATTTTGAGACTCATACAACACATAAAACAAGGGAGTAGTCAGTCCATACACCTACTGTTCTAACCTACAGTTTGAAAATGGTCTGTTTGCTGAATGCATTCTATTTTTGTTGTTAGCGTAATTATTTTTATTTTATTATGCAGGGTCATTTTCATGAACACACAAAGTATTTTGGGCATATTTCTCCCTGTTCCTTCATCAACAGCTTTAATTTATAATATACTTATTATCAGTAGGAAGAAATGTTTGAAAATTATTTGGGTCTTCAATGAATTTTAAAAGTATTAAAAGTGGTCTCAAGGTGAAAATGCTTAGGAATCCTTGCAGGTGCTGGGAACCAGACTCAAACTCTCATCCATCTCTTCAGATCCGATTCATCTGATTCATATACAAGGTGAAGTGTACCTTGGGAAAATTACCCAGATAATTACCACATTCTCATTGTAGGGTACATTTTACAGATATATCTGAAGTTCATTAAAACATATTTCAGATTTAAATTAAACACCTATCATTTATTGAGAATCTTCTAGGTGCCAAGCACTCTATTAGGTATTTCTCATGTGCTATTTGACTTAATCTCTTTTTGAAAATAGCTGTATTGCATTTTGTTTAAATGATGATGACCAATAAGTAAATGTTCAACCAATACTAGAGACTGGAAATATTTACCTTTCAAAGTAACACTACGAGATAAATATCTCTGGCGCTAGCTTAGAGACAAGGAAGCAAATAAGAGAAGACACTGGAACTGCACAGCGGAAGTGACAGTGTTGTTAGCTCCTGTACCTGGCCCTACCCTCCACCTGTGGTTGACCTTTGTGGTAGCTAGAATGCAATTGTCCCCCACAAGCTCACTACTAGGAGGTGTGGCTTTGTTGGAGTAGGTGTGGCCTTGCTGGAGGAAGTCTATCACTGGGGAGGGCGGGCTTTGAGGCCTCTTATGTTCAAACTCCTCCCACTGTCACAGTCCACTTCCTGTTGCCTTCTAATCAAGATATAGCCAACACCATGTCACCATGCTCTCTGCCATGATGACAATGGACTGAACCTCTGAACTTAAGCAGCCACCTCAGTTAAATGTTTTCCTTAATAAGAGTTGCCGTGGTCATGGCATATCTTGACAGCAATAGGAACCCTAACTAAGACAGCCACCGTGATTTATCGTACTTACGTGGCAGAGGAACAGGCTTTTGATGGATGGGTCTGAAAGGAAGAAATGCAGGTTGAATAAAAGGCAGAGCACAGTACAAAAATCTGGAGAACCCACACCAAAGGATAATGAGATCTAAAGATGGGAGGGGCAACAAAACCTTTGAAAAACCAAGATTTTCCCCTTTAGCTTTGAAAAAGGAGGAGCCTTGACTGAAGTGCTATATTTTAGATAAGACCAATGACCTGAAGAATGGGTCTCTGAAATTCTACAGTTTCTTAAGTTGCTAACACCTTTCCAGATTTAATTAAGAAGTGATGAAACAATGGTTCCCTGTGTGGCCTTGTATGAAAATGAATTTCCATAGCAACAAGAAGAAACTTGTTTTTAAAGGGAAAGATTCTACTGCTGGGAAAAGATCTGTTACCCCACACTCTAGAGGCTGAGGCAGGAGTTAAAGGGCAGCCTGGCTACGTATATCAGGAAGGCAATGTGAACACAGCCGGGGCTACAGAGTGTGACCCCACCTTTAACAAATATTTAAAACAAAGAGGTGGGAGAGGTGGTTGCTTCCTGTTGTTCCAGAAGACCTGAGTTCAGTTCCTAGTGCCCACACTGGATGGCTCACAGCCATGTAACTCCAGCTCTAACCCTAACCCTTTTCACACACATGCAACATATACCTACGTATATACATAAAAACAAAATGAAAATGAAAACATTTTTAAAAGAATGAATAAATAAATAAATGGGAGGGTTCTTACTTCTGGGTAGGAGGAAACACTGGTGACTGTACGGTGTCTTGTCTGTGACTAGACCCTCGGTGGCGTTCAGCAGGGACAGGCTTGTCTGGATTAGGAGAGGTCTCACATTAGTATTAAAGTGAAATATCATCTGTCCCGTCCCCAAATCCAGCCACATCAGCGTGTAGGACCCTCCATGTCTCCCCAATACCCTATCTTCTGAGGAGTTCTCAGTCTGTGTACTTGTCACTCTTTTGGCATGTGTGAGCTCTTAGGACCATGACTCCCTCTTGGCAGTGTTACCATGTGCTCCTCCTTCATGAAAACAGAAGCCCTGGGCACTGGACCATAGCGTCTGAGCACAGGTGGGTACCAGGAGATGTACAGGCTCGACAGCCCTCTGCGCAGCTCATTCGCTGCTTTCTGTGTGGCCTCCCTTCAGGTGTTAGCACACCTCCCTGTGTCTTGATTAGTCATGAGATGTAACTCATTACTGGTGAGAGGTAAAATCTCAGGATTCATGAATAATCTACTTCTTTCGAAAAATTAACTGAATCATAGTCCAGTTTATCCTCCAGTGTTGATATCACTTGGAGCTCAACATGTTCTTGAGGGGGTCGGGTAGGAAATAGGCATAACGAGGGAACCTAAGAAATTTCTGTTGAAGCCCACGGGGAACTTTCCTACTGAGACATTAAGAAAAGCAAACAGCTACAAAGGCTTCGAAGGAACAGAAGCAGCGACTCAAGCACTGTAAGTGGTCAGCCCCAGTACCCTGACATTCAGCCAGCTTTGAACTGTAAAGGCATTTCAAATGCGTGGCAGGTTACCTTGAACTGTCACAACAACTTTGTGCTCATCTCTTTAAAACTCAGAAATTCCCAAAGGAGCGCAATGCCCACATTAGGTTCCCGCAGCCTTAAGCTTTGACTACACCGTGTTTTCTCTATCCTCTGTTAGCCAGGGCCTTGCCATCTTGTGAGCGCCTTCTCTGTATTTGGTAGAGCTGTGACAGTTCCCTTAATTACAGTAATTTGGTTTCCAGAACTGTTAGGTCTCTTGGGCTGTCCAAATAGCCGGAAATGAGCCCAAGCTGGACTACAGGATTTCTGGCTGGTAGATAAAAGCCTGCATTCCTCAGGAACTTGTGAAACTGGTTCCTACCTATGAAAAGGAGCATTTCCCTTACCTCTGGCAGGAGAGACACATGGCTACCTGTGGCCCCTATTAGGATACCAAAGTCCATGCTGACCTCTGGGCTCCCTTAGTACCACAAGGATCCGTTACACATTCCAAAGTCCATGCTAGCATTAGCTGCTCCCCTCCCCCGGCTACTCATCCCTCATCCCCTGGCTACTCTTGCTATTTGCTCGCTCATTCTCTCCAGGAGTACTCTATTCTCAACTTCGTGTTATCTCAGCATCTCCACTGTTCTCTCCTACTTCCCCAGTCCTGGCCATGTCCAGTCTACTTCTTTCTCTCTCTCTGCTCTGGACTCTTCCAGATGTCTCTGGCTGCTTCCTCTCATATCTGCAATAAAAACCCTAACCACATCACAGATCAGTTACATCAGCAGTTTCTTTCCTGCAACCACTCACTCAAGAGCTCAAGTAGATTGTCTCTCTGGATTCCTGTCTTCCTGCCCTGGCCCCTCCCACCCATCACGAGAGATGTCTATCAGTCATCTGATTCTTTAACTGACTACTCACTGGTCATCCCAGCAATGGTCAAATGCCAGCTGAAAAAGGAAACTTTTCAGCCTGTGCCCCAGCTTGTAAGCAGGCTGGGGGCAATGATTCTCAGAGTTTGCTCCAGCCAAACAAAGCCCTACATGGTCTCACTCTCTGTCTTTCCTTCTCACGCATCTTTCAGCGTCCTGAAATCTCCTCCCCAGGGCAGAGATGGCTGCTCCCTCCCTCTGGGTTTAAATGGCCACTGCCTCTGCTTTTGGAAGGGGTCCAAAGGAAGATAAGCTCCTCTGTGGGAAGCCTCGAGCAGCAGGGGAAAGCCAGCAGCTCCTCCATCTTGGTTTTAGAGACTCCCGGAGCCTTTAAGTTTGCACAGAGACCTGGTCACTAGGACTCTCTGCCCTGCTCCTACTCATCAGGGTGGAGGGCCTGGAAGGCATGGGAGGCATGCATGGGATGTCCAGGAACAGGGGAGGCGGGGAAGCACAGGACAGAGAGGAGGGGGTGGGGGACTGAAACAGCCTGGGGGGGAGGAAAGAAGAGAGAACTAGAACCTATTGGTCCAGTAGAAGCAGAGATGAGAGCTGGTGTGCGCTCAGAAGAAAAGGCCCCTGTCTCGGGAGCAGGGACGCCAGCAAGCTCTGCGCAGACATAGACTTAGGACATGGAGAAAGGACATGCACTGAGATGAGGCACAGGGTGCCTTCCTGAGGGCAAATGGATGGGTGCAGGACTTCATTGTCTCTACCTTCTGAGTGTTGACATCATGAATGAGTCTTACTTTCACGTTCCTGTCCCCATCCATGCTTTTTAAATACACGATTTTTTAATTTTTTAATTTTTATTTTTGGTTTTTACGAGACAGGGTTTCTCTGTATTGTTTCGGAGGCTATCGGTTCAGCCCGGCCTCGAACTCACAGAGATCCGCCTGCCTCTGCCTCCCGAGTGCTAGGATTAAAGGCGTGCGCCACCATCGCCCGCCCGGCTAAATACACGATTTTTAAATGGGGGTCACTATTAAAAAGCATGTTGGTGGGTGTTTTTGTTTTGTTTTTTGTTTTTTGAGATATGGTGACACAAAGGCAAAGAAGTAGCTGAAGATAGATTAATAATGGGCTTTTGAACTTTGGAAACTTTCCAGCAGAACTTCTTTAAAAGAACAGAGTTTTAAAAATTCATTACCTTCTTTCTCTAAGCTGTTCGGAGATTTGTAGGTGGCTCTAAGGTCATAGATTGTACCACCATATTGCTTTCTAGCTGCCTGTGGCCCTCTGCCTGCAGCCTTCTCCACAGCCCCTGCCTGCTCAGCTCAGGCTTCTGTGCTGGCTTTGCTACTCACTACTAAATGCAAAACACTAGTCGTTCAGAAGACGTGGCTTCATATTAACGTTATATGGAAATCGTTAATTGAAAACTTACTTTCAGAGTACATGCTCAACCATCAGAATAAATACGTTTACCTTCACAGATATTTGATGCATTCGGTGGAGAGGCAACTGGAGTCTGTGAGAAGGAACAAAAAGATAGACACTCAACAGAGCAGAGCATGAAGATAAAAGTCAGAGCAATATTAAATATGCTGGTAGAGATTTGATGAAGCTACTCTAAATCATGACAACAAGCCTAAAGCAGTTTCCATTCACTGAAAACTGTATGGGTGTGTCTTGTGGGAGACATTTCATTGTGAGGACATCATTCATCTGTCAACAGTGTTGATAGACACTATGACCCCCGCCCCCAGCAGCTTCCAGGCAGTAGTGCTTGTGCGGTGGGCATCAGGCACCTGGCTTTGGTCTCATGGTCCCATGTATTTTAAGTGATAGCCACTGTCAGGTTCTAATGTAAGCTCAGGTCCAGCTTGGCTGCATTGCATCATGGGCTTGCCCAGGGTCACCCCATTCTGGCCAGCAGCTGAGTTTAGTCTGTGGCTATTTATCTGATACACAGTGGTCTGCCAGTTGCTCTGGGGTCATCGAGGCAGGAAATGGACAGAAGCTTCCTGCAGTGATGGAGGCGTGGATGCCTGCACATCTTCTGTGATCTCTGCACACATTCAGGGAGGCTGACAGAGTCCATCAAGGACCAGCTGGCCAGGAGTAGAACCTTCCCAGCTACCTGAGCATTAGAAGCTCCTCTGGGTTGTCAGGGCAGCAGCTGCTTCAGTTGCTAAGCCTGCGGTGTCAAGCACAACTGGATGCATTAAGTAAGTGGCTAACAATAGATGCTGCAGGAAATGTGAAGCACTTTCAAGTGCAGAATCAACTTACTGTCTTCAGTGGTGGAGCTGTTTTCTTCCTAGGGAATAAAAGATTAGCCTTCTTAAACGCAAGGAAGATGAAGCAGAGCTACTACCTTCTTCTTAGACCTAACCACTGAAATGAAAACAGTGGGTAGGAAGACCACTCTCGAAGAACTGATAGGGATGGACAGAGGAGCTAATTGTGATGATCCTTCCAACAGGCAGAGAAAGCTTAACTGTCTTAGTCGGGGCTCTTGCTGTGAAGACCCCATGACGAAGACAGCTCTTTTAAAAGAAGGCATTTAATTGAGGGCTTGCTTACAGTTTCAGAGGCTTAGTTCATTATCAGTCTGACAGGGAGCATGGTGGCATGCAGGCAGGTGCTGGAGTAGTAGCTGAGAGCTATATCCTAAAAGCCCACCCTCAGTGACACACTTCCTCCAAGGTCACACCTCCTAATCCTTTCAAACAGCGCCACTCCCGAAGCATTCAAGTCTATGAGCCTATGGGAGGTATTCTTATTCAAACGGCCATATTAATATTAATAAGCAAGGGCGTAGTTGCCAAGAGACATCAGAACAGCTCTTGTCTCAGGTCTGCTGCTACCTGCTTGGTGACCTTGGGCCCCTTTTGGCCATGGGGCACCCGTGCACTCTAGCTTCCTCAGCCTGAACCTCAGTTCATTTACCTCAGTAAGGTAAATGCGGACCCTTCCCATACCCATGACACTCTATGGGTACCACCTGGGACCCAAGGTCCTGCAGGTGAGGTTGCAACCATCACCTTCCTGTATCCACTTCTGTTCTACTACAAGGTGACTGCTCTCTAATGCCTGTCTTCCTAGAGATCCAAAACACAGCTAGTTCAAAGCCATTGTGGTGCACGGTCCCAAATATTTGCAACCTATGCCAACATTTACCGTTACCTTGGCTTTAATAGAGCCTGGACTTACCATCACTAAGGCTTTACACTTCTTGTTGGGGTTTAGTTTTAATTCTTTTCCCTTTCCTCGATTCAGCTCCTCACTCTCTTCTCTCTTCCTCCCCACTGCACCCTCCCCTGTTTTGTCTGAAGTAAGTGAAGAATACTAATAATAATGTCTGTAAGTCTGGAACTAGGCTAAGCTCCTCACAGGTTACTTCAACCATTTAAACAACCTTTCCAAGTGTGATATATATATATATATATATATATATATATATATATATATATATATGGAAACCCTGTCTCAAACAAAACTGAAAACCTGCAAGAAGCTGCCTATAGTAGCATTGGCTTTTGATTCCAGCATGCAGGAGGCAGAGGCAGGCAGGCAGCCGGCCTAAAAAACATGTTCCGGGCCAGTCAGGACTACATAGGGAGACCCTGACTCTATTTTTTCCCTATTATTGTCACATCTTAGAGATCAGGAAACAGGTTCAGAAAGACTAAGTAACTGCTCAAAGTGAAGCCAAGAGAGGAGTGCAGTTTTGGTTAATAAGCCCCCCAAATTAAGATTTATTTGTCGTAACCGTGTCAGCCAGTTTTGTATATATTTAAGTGTGCTTTAAAAATAGATTTATTTTATTAAAATGTGGGTATGTGTGCATGTGTGTGGTGTGTAAGTGTGTATATGGTGTGTGCGTGCGTGCGTGCGTGTGTGTGTGTGTGTGTGTGTGTGTGTGTGTGTGTGTGTGTGTGTGTGTAGTGTTTGGATAGGTGCCATGTAGGTCAGATTTGTCAGATCCCGTGGAGCAGGAGTAACAGGTGACATGCCTCCTGGCTTGCATCTGGGAATCAGACTCGGGTCCTCTGGCAGGGTGTTGCCTGCTCTTAATAACTTCCCAGCTCATAAGTGTACTTTTGTAACAACCTATTGAGCCAACATAATTGTATGGAGTATATGGTAGTTTGAATAAAAATGTCTCCGATAGACTTATATATTTCAATACTTGCTTCTCAGTAGGAAGAACTGTTTGGGAGGGATTAGAAGATGTGGCATTGTTAGAAAATACGACACTGGAGGCAGACTTTGAAGTCTCAAAAGATGTGTGCTGCCAGGCAGTGGTGGCACGCATCTTTACTTCTAGCACTCAGGAGGCAGAAGCAGGTGAATCTCTGAGTTCAAGGCCAGCCTGGTCTTAGTTTCATGTTTTGAGACCATGATGGCAGAGTGAAGGAATGATTGGGAACTTATATCTTGATCCACAACCATGAGGCAGAGAGGAGAGAGACACTGGGAATGGTACAAGTTTTTGTTGGTGGTATTGGTTTGGGGGGGTGTGCATGGAAGAGGTGGGTTTGTGTAGCCTCAGTTGTTCTGGAATTCGTTCTGCAGACCAGGCTGGCCTTGAACTCAGAGATTCACCTGCTTCTGCCTCCTGAGTGCTAGAAGTAAAGTTGTGTGCCACCACCTCTTGGCCTAAATTCTTTCTTTTATAAGCTGTCCTGGTCATAGTGTCTTATCACAGCAATAGAAAAGTAACTAATGTGGTGGTGTCATAATACTCACCCAGCAGTTTCCAAAGCCATCTTAAATGCCAAAGCCATAAGCATTGTCCCCAAAACACCCTAAATCATGTTCAGATGTATGAGCACCAATGCATGTTCTGATGCCGGGCCCAGCTGCAAATGAAACCGGGGAGCAGAAAGTAAAGGTTGAACCTGACTGGAGATCTCAGAGCTATCGGTGTTGAAAGCTGGGGTGCTCACAGTGAGCCAATGAACTCCCATTGTAGCTAAAACTGACTCTATGTGAGGCAAGACTCGTCATTTCCAATTTTGGTGGCAGCTCTTCTGGTCCATCATGAAGGCTACCTTGGGGATGGAGAACTAACAGGAGTCCTCAGGGCGGCAGGACCTCACCATCCCACACACCCAGATCTCGTACAACCAGTGTCCTCAATCAGTACTCACCCAGCTCGTGGCAGCGGGGATGGCGCAGCAGGCAAAGATGACTTGGAGTCCCAGACCCCACTGTTTCGACCTGCACAGAACATACATGAGTCAGGCACTGTGCCCTGCCAGCGGGGATGGCTGTATCGGTGAGGCTAGTACTTGTGAGACACATACGCTTTGTGTTACTTTAAGTGAAGTGTTTGTATCCAGTGACACTGAAGCTAGGGGCAAATGAATGGGCACAGATGATAAGAAACTTGAGATGCCAATATAGGGGCGGGGGACAATCCAGTAGTCGGAACACTTGCCACACATGTGTGAAGACCAGAGTTCAGATCCCCAGAGGCCATGTAAATGCCAGGTGGGAGCGGCAGCTTGCTTGTAATGCCAGTCTTGGAAAGTAGAGATGAGAAACTCAGGGAAATCTAGGAGCAGGACTAACTATATTGATGAACTCTAAGTTTGATTGAGAGACCCTGACTCAAAGAATTTCATTAATCTCAGGCCATATGCACATGCACCCACACATCTGTGCCTACGCAAATAAAAAAGGAAAATAATGCCAACCTATAATCTCTTACACAGGCTGTGGGTTAGAATGCCACTGTAATGCTTCTGGCAAACCTGCTCCTTAGACTCATGGGCAAGTTCAGGGATGCAGTAATATTTTGTTTATGATCTAACAAATAAAGTTTGCCTGAAGATCAGAGTGCAAAGCTAGCCACACTAGTTAGCCGTAGAGGTGGTACACACCTTTAATCCCAGCACTTGGGAGACAGAGGCAGATGGATCTCTGTGATTTCAAGGCCACCCTGGGCTACATGAAATTGATCCAGTCTAAAAGAGAAACAGAGCTCACACAAAGGTGATCCCAGAACTTGGAGTCATATGCCTCTAATCCCAGCACTAAGGAGGTAGAGACAGGAGTGATATGTCTGGGAGAAGAGAGGAATATAAGGCGGAAGAGACGGGAGCTCAGGGCAGTCTGAGGAGCAGTAAATCTGAGGGTGCAGTCAGTCTGAGGGTGCAGTCAGTCTGAGGGTGCAGTCAGTCTGAGGACACAGTCTGAGGATGCAGTCAGTCTGAGGACACAGTCTGAGGGTGCAGTCTGAGGGTGCAGTCTGAGGGTGCAGTCTGAGGGTGCAGTCAGTCTGAGGATACAATCTGAGGAGCAGTCAGTCTGAGGGTGCAGTCTGAGGAGCAGTCAGTCTGAGGGTGCAGTCTGAGGAGCAGTCAGTCTGAGGGTGCAGTCTGAGGATGCAGTCAGTCTGAGGGTGCAGTCAGTCTGAGGGTGCAGTCTGAGGATGCAGTCAGTCTGAGGACACAGTCTGAGGGTGCAGTCTGAGGGTGCAGTCTGAGGGTGCAGTCTGAGGAGCAGTCAGTCTGAGGGTGCAGTCTGAGGGTGCAGTCAGTCTGAGGGTGCAGTCAGTCTGAGGGTGCAGTCTGAGGATGCAGTCAGTCTGAGGACACAGTCTGAGGGTGCAGTCTGAGGGTGCAGTCTGAGGGTGCAGTCAGTCTGACGATGCAGTCTGAGGATGCAGTCTGAGGGTGCAGTCTGAGGATGCAGTCAGTCTGAGGGTGCAGTCTGAGGGTGCAGTCAGTCTGAGGATACAATCTGAGGAGCAGTCAGTCTGAGGGTGCAGTCTGAGGGTGCAGTCAGTCTGAGGATACAATCTGAGGAGCAGTCAGTCTGAGGGTGCAGTCTGAGGGTGCAGTCAGTCTGAGGGTGCAGTCTGAGGATGCAGTCAGTCTGAGGGTGCAGTCTGAGGATGCAGTTTGAGGTTTCTTAGAGAGCACTTGGTCTGAGGATTCATGGGGACAGAACTGCCCATTCAGTCTGGGGTAAAGGTAAGAGTTAGTGGCTGACTGCTTTGCTTCTCTGATCTTTCAGGTCCCCACCCCCAATATCTGACCTGGGTTTTTATTATTAAGACTCATGCTACACAGGGACCCTGGTTCTGAGAGCCCAGTGAAAACACACAAAAGTCCCTTTGAGAGGGAGCCAAGAAATACCACTGTACAGGTGTGCTCAGCAATGTATCCAGAGACATAAGGGTTCGACCCACTCCTCCTGGTGCTCACGGCCCTCCCGGTTCATGCATACCACACTTGAGTGCAGTGTCTGCGCCTCATGCACATCAGAGAATACCTACTCACTCACAGCCAAGTGAGGGCAAGGGCCAGGCCGTTCCCCGTATCGCACCTTCTGAAGTCACAGAAGGGACCCAGCAGCCTGGACCTTGTATTCAGCCCTCCCCCACCTATCTGGCTGAAAACAGAGCCAGACAACCATGAAGGAAGCAGCTAGAGAGGCAATAGAGTCCCCACGTGGGTGGCTGCTTGGACACTGCTACTCGTTAAGACAAGAAGGCTCATGATGAGAACTTTGTTGGGTCAAACTGAGCTGAATAAATATTGTGTGTGGTGTATATGCACACATGTGTTTGTGAGTGTGTGTGCAGAGAAGAGAGGAGTAAACATTGTGTGTGGTGTACATGCACACACATGTGTGTATGTGTATGTGTAGAACAGAGGAGTAAACATTGTGTGTGGTGTATATGCACACATGTGCTTGTGTGTGCATGTGTGTAGAACAGGAGTAAACATTGTGTGTGTATATGCACACGTGTGTGTGTGTGTGTGTGTGTGTGTGTGTGTGTAGAACAGAAAAGGCCCCCACCTCCTCCCCACCCCCTGTCCTCCAAAAGCAGTCATTTCCCTTGACTCTCCATTGACGTGGCAACTCTCAGGATACCAACACCCAGGCTCCCTCAGTATCACAAGTACCTGTTACACATTTCAAAGTTCATGCTAGCATCTGGGCCCTTCCCTCTCCCAGCTACTCATGCTCCTAATAATCCACACGATTTGTTCACCGCACGCCCTCCCTGTCTCATGCTGCTCTCTGTCTTGCTGTCTGTCATCTTGCTCTCCTGCTGTTTTCACTGTTCACTCTCCTGCCCTGCTCTGCTCTCTACTGATAGCTCCGCCATTCTCTCCCGCTCCTGTTGCCACCCTGGCCCAGGTCATGTCTCTCTCTCTGTCTCTCTGTCTCTCTGTCTCTCTGTCTCTCTGTCTCTCTCTCTCTCATATTCTGGACTCTTCCAGGTGTCTCTGGATTTCTTCTCTTTCACTCACGGTAAAAACCTTCCCCCGTATGGTGGAGCAATCACGTTGGCAGTTTCATTACTGTGCCTCCTCATACAGTAAGCTGTACGTGTGGCATGGAAATGGAGAGAAATGTCATCAGACTATGGCTTGTGAGTCCCCCTGTGACTGTCTAACGGCCGAGTAACACTGAACATCACATTTGACAGCAGGCAGAGAGGCTAGCCACTCATACTCAGAAGAATTCAGGGCAGAGGAGGCAACCATGTCTGAAAAGGCAGGAAGCAGATAAGAGATCTAAATCAGACCCCACCCTCACTCCACCCTTCGTTAGACCCACCGCCAGTGCCTGGTTTTTCTACTGAGCTAGCCTTTCCTCCAAGTCCCCAACCAGCATGCCAACATGCCCCCTTTCTTTCCTCTCCATAAATAGCCTTACTCTAGTGAACCAGAGCCGAACCAGAGCTAACCAGAGCGAACCAGAGCTAACCAGAGCTAACCAGAGCTAACTAGAGCTAACCAGAGCTGAACCAGGGCCAAACCAGAGCTAACCAGAGCTAACCAGAGCTAACCAGAGCCAACCAGAGCCGAACCAGAGCTGAACCAGAGAGTGATGCTGGTGCGAGCCCATACTCTTAGGCTGGCGAGGTGGCTCAGCAGATAAAAGTGCCTGCCACCATGCCGGAGGACCCAAGTTCAATCCCCAGAACCCACATGGTGAGAGAGAGAACCGACTTTACAAAGTTGTCCTCAGATCTCCTCATGTGTACCAAGACATGAACATGCCCTGTTCCCTGACAAATACATTTTTTTTAATCCACCACGGTCTTGTATTAGGAAGACAGCATCCTAGTTATTCCTCTGTCATCAAAGTGGCTGGGTGACCTCTTAGAAACACTGTCTCAGGTGCTTTGTGAAGTGGGAACACTTCTCATCTTCTCAAATTCACTTTTTATGGTCAGACAACAGCATATATCTGACATTTTTAAAGAATCAACCAGACACAGCCAGAGTCTGGGAAAGAAGCAAAACTTTCTGATGGCTAAAAACTTTACAGTGAGGGAAAAGAACTAGATATTCAGAAGCCAGATGTGTAGGACCCCCCAGTGAGTGAACCTGCCTATCTGAAATGTCAGCAAAAGCAGGTTTACAGCAGTGGATGCAGATAAGTAGTTGCCTGGAACCAGGAATGGGAATAGCACTGACTATACAGAAATGGACATAAGGGATCTTGGGGGCTGGGTGGGCATGGAAATTTTCTAAAAGTAAGCTGGGGCAATGATTACACAATGTGTTTACATAAATGTCACGGCTCATAGAAATCACTGACTTTATACTAAGATGGGTGAGTGTTATATATAATATTCAAATTATAACTCATAAAGGACGATTGTAAGTGTCTTGTGATGAATACCCCAGTGTCTCCGGGTGCTGGCAGAGTTCTAGGGACTGCACACATGCTATCTGCACCTCACTAACACAGGTGGGACAGATGGCTGCTCAGAGAGGGCACGAGACAGGGCCGTGTGAGCTGTGGACCCAGGCAGACAATTCCCTCCAGCCAAGAGTTTGTATCGCTCTGCAGGTCAGGGTCACTGTTGCCTTTCTCCAAAGGAGGGTGCTAGGGTATTTCTGTGACTGTGAAGGGAGAATGGAGACAGACTGACCCCAGCTAGGCCCTTCTGCTCTCCAGAGGGCAGCCAGACCAAGAGACACATCAGTGGGGTGACCCCAGCAATGGTATAGCAGGCACCCACCTTCCTTTCTGGAGGTGCCCGGTATTTGGTTGGGACACTCTACAGGAGACGTGTGGTGGATGGTGTACCAAAAGCACAAAAGTAAAAGGGAAATCAGCTTTAGTCTCTAGCTGTCCTGAGCAGAAACTTACAAGTGTGTATTTTCAAGGTGCAGGTTGGGTGGCAAGTTCTGCTTACTTTCTCAGCTAGGAAACTCACTCACAGTGTCCTGCTCCCGTGTGTTTCCCACACCAGTCTGCTTCAGCTTCAGATTCCACCTTTGTTCTGCCAACCCCACCCCCTATGTCAGCCACGTACACCCCAGTGCTCCATCTCTTTGCAAGCATTCCTGAAGACTGCCATTTCCTGCTATTAGTAGACTATGTAGCGTCCCATCTCTGAAACATGCACACAAAAGATTCCACCCAGCAATTCTGCAAAAATTTGGGCTGCGCTAGTGTGCAATTCAGTTTGCATGTTTATGGGGATTTGTATATTTCAAGGTATTTGTTTATTTTAGTTTTTTGGGGGGGAGGGGAACAGAATTGTAAATGATACCAACTTAGAGAAAACTCAGAAATACAGATTCCGTCTATCCTTTCCTGATAAGCGATCCAGACCAGCCAGCCATTATACTCTTTTCAAATTTCCACTGGGAGATGTCCCTATGGACTGAGTGGTTTGGCTTCTTTAAACTTGTGATTCTCACCTGCCTAGAAGTTGATCCAACTCAGAGACAGTTGGCACCATGTGGGGTATTTTTGTGCATCATGTTTAGTGAGGTGACTTTGGAACCTAGTGGGTAGAGGTCAGAGCAATGGCAGAAAGTCTGTGGACATGGATGAAATTAAGGCTTTGTCCCCCATTATCAGGAAAGTTGGAAATATAGGTGATGGTTCACGTATGATCTTAGTAGTGTATCTCTTTTGGAACAGATTATAAAGCAAGCCAAATACTTTACCTGTGACATTCCCTGAAGGTGACATTGACTTTGAGGAGCCGTTTGGCTTTGTTGATCTGTTCACCATGGGAGCTGAAACACACAGATGTGAACACATGCAGTAGTTATAGGCACGTTCCTCTGAGGAAAGGTCTTGTAGAGAGAAAGATGATCAGTCAAACCAGACAATCTGCAAAGATTCCATGACCCTTATTAATCCCATGAACCATCCAAAGAAATTTTCTCAAGGGGAAGCCAGGGTTTGTGATTAAATGAATGAAATAAGACGATTAGCTAAAGTATACTTGGATCAGAATGTCACCCACCTGGGAGGGTAGGAGACAAAAGAGGGTTTGACTTTGTTCTGTTTTAATAAAAAGTATATTAAAGCTAAACATGATACCAAGTTAACTAATCCTCCTTCCCTTCCATACACAGATTCTCTTGGATTTTGAGATGTTCTGCAGTAGCAGAGACAGGACATGTAGGTATTGTTTTGTGCATTGGTTGGCTCACGCTTGGGGAGCACAGGAGAGTGTTGTCATAAAAAATAAAACAAAACAGGAGAGTTGAGGACAGTTCTCTCTGGTCTAGTTCATTAGATGGGGAGTGTCATCTGAAGAGGGTCACATGCCTGGGACTGTATTTTCCAAAGTCACTATTTCCGGAGGGTGCTGCTTCCATGTCTGATCTGAGACAACTGTTCGTGATAGCATTCCTGGCAGGATTTGCAGACAAAGTGCCCCATAGGCCTGAGACATGTGGGAGTAAAGACCAGGAGGGAGAGTACCTGGGCTCTCATTTTATCATTCCTCCACAGATTTGCTCGCCATGCACTGTTTCCAAGTCCACCCTGTGGCTTGCAATCCTGAGAGCATCAGCTTCTGAGAACCGTTCTGAGCAAAGGCAGCTGAAGATAACAGCTCCAGCTTTCATAACCTGGGTCTAAAACCATGAACGAGGAAGGAGAAAGGCTCTGAACCAGCCAAAGGGGGTGTGGTTACAGAGGAGGAGAGCCTGTCAGTTCTGAGTTCCAACCTGGTGTGGGCTAACTGCCAGAAGCTTTCAGGTACTCCAAATTCCAAATGCTTACCTTTCTCTGCAGGCAGCGGGCTGCTTTCTCTGGGATGGATATAGTTTTCATCATTATCCTCCACAGGGACCACATAATCAGCCTGAAAGAAACAGAAGTGAGTGAAGAGGATGCTTGCTCTAAGTTAAGGGAGAAAAATTTTGTTTTTCTGAACGCTTTCACGGGCTGTAATTCACATACCATAAAATTGCACCAGGTGAGGTTAACAGTAGGGTGCCTTTACTTAGTTATCTGTTGGATCTACAAGGGACTTGTCTACCAGACTCTGTCCCATGAATGCTAAGTCCATGACTGGATAATATCAGTTGTATGTTCTGTGATGAAACGTCAGAAGCAGATGCAATTTATAGGAGGAAGAGTTTGTTTGGGCTTAGGGATCCAGAGGGATAAGCATCCGTGATGGTGGGGAGACACAATAGTAAACAGAAGCCATGGCAGCAGGAAGCTGATGGCTCCCGTCTTTAATCATAAGCGTGAAACAGAGCCTTATCTGGATAGGGGAGATATTATATAAAGTAAGAAGCCCATCCCAAAGACATACTTCTTCAGTAAGGCACACCTCCTGTACCTCCCCAAACAGTGCCACCAGTTGGGGACCAAGTGTTCAAATGCCTGAGACATGGGTCCATTCTCATTCAGACCACTACATCAGTATTCAGCCGATGCATGGATACTTTAGTCTCTAGGCTTCTAAAATACCTAATATGACTTCAGGTGTGTCTTGTAGTTTGGCTCTATATTCCTTTGATGGCTACTGCTTAGGTACTTAGTGTACCTCTTAACATCCTTTCCCACTTTTAACCGTGTGGTTTACCTTTCTATTGTTATGGCATATTAGTTCTTTGTATGTCCTAGATATAAGTCCTGTATAAGATGCATGACTTGCATTTTTCTCCAATTTTGAGTCTCACTATGTGCATAGATTAACATTGAACTGAAGTCCGCTTGCTTCAGCTTCCTTCTGTTGAATTGTAGGAATGTGTAATGCTTTCATGATGCATCCCTTCTGGTACAAAGATCTAAATTATAAGCCCACTCTGTGTATCTTTTTTCTCTACTGCTTGTGTCTTGGTATCAAAAAATAAACAAAACATTGCCTAACTCAAGGCCATAAAGATTTCTACTTACGCTTTCTTTCCTCTAAGAGTCCAATAATTTCATATCTTAAATTTAGGCCTGTGATATGCCTCTAGTTAATATTACATATGGCATAAGACAGGGTTCAATTACTTCATTTTGCATGTGGATATATAGTTTTTATAGCACTGTTACTTTTTTTTTTTTTGCTGTTTCGCATCTCTTCTTCACTTTCAAGAGGAGTCATCCTATCTATACTGCCTAGAATCCAATCTATTTAGAGTAATGCTATTTCTAGAATTTCTGGAACCAAGACACTTTTATTCCAAAAGAGCAATGACAGAAAAGACTCAAGCCAATCCCAACAAATTCTGTTTGTTCAAGGAGGGGGTATATGCAATGTGCATTTCCAGTACTGCAGTTCCATGGTTTAAAATTGCTACCTGCCAGCCGGGCGGTGGAGGCACACGCCTTTAATCCCAGCACTCGGGAGGCAGAGGCAGGCGGATCTCTGTGAGTTCGAGGCCGGGCTGGACCAACAGCCTCCAAAACAATACAGAGAAACTCTGTCTCGTAAAAGCCAAAAAAAAAAAAAATTGCTACCTGCCAAAGCATGTGTATGATGAAGACCCATCACAATCTGTACCTTAAAGAGACCACCAGCATTATTGTGATGTTTTGATATAAACTCCATTATCCAATGGACAGCCTAGGACAGCCAGTGCTACATAGAGAAATCAAAAAAACCCAAAACAACAAACAAAACAGAGAAAAATAAAAAAAAGTTTTAGGGATACATGAGATTCTAAGTACTAGAAAAAGAAAAGAAAAGGTGGGAGGGTGGTTGGTTTTGTCTTTTTTGTAGATTCTCTCTCTCTCTCTCTCTCTCTCTCTCTCTCTCTCTCTCTCTCTCCTGAGACAAGGTCCCATGAGCTCCTTCTGTCAGCAAGGATGACCTTGAACCCTGGCCCTCCTGAGTGCTGGGACTACTGGACTCTGTCACCACTCCTGATCCATGTGGTGTTGGAAATGGAATCTAGTGCTTTATTCATGCCAGACACACCCTCTACAGCTGAGTCACATCCTCAGGCCCGTGTGTGTGCAGGTACAGGAGCACGCGTGTTCACAGAGGATAACCACAGGTGTGTGTGTGTGTGTGTGTGTGTGTGTGTGTGTGTGTACAGGTACAGGAGCATGCGTGTTCACAGAGGATAACCACAGGGGTGTGTGTGTGTGTGTGTGTGTGTGTGTGTGTGTGTGTGTGTACAGGTATAGGAGCAAATGTGCACAGATGATAACCACAGGGGTGTGTGTGTGTGTGTGTGTGTGTGTGTGTGTGTACAGGTACAGGAGCAAATGTGCACAGATGATAACCACAGGCGTGTGTGTGTGTGTGTGTGTGTGTGTGTGTGTGTGTGTACAGGTACAGGAGCATGCGTGTTCACAGAGGATAACCACAGGTGTGTGTGTGTGTGTGTGTACAGGTACAGGAGCATGCGTGTGCACAGAGGATAACCACAGGTGTGTGTGTGTGTATGTGTGTGCAAGTACAGGAGCACGTATGTGCACAGAAGATAACCTCACTCACCATTCTTTCAGTGCTGATCACTTCTTTGTGGCTGTTTGATTTTTTAAACTTTAATTTTATTTACTTTTATTTTCTGGTTTTTCAAGGCTGGGTGTCTTTGTTTGACAGGGCCCCTCATTGACCTGGGATAAGTTAGGCTGGTCAGGCAGTCAGGCCATCCTGAGGGATCAGCCTGTCTCCACCCACGACTTTTTAAAGTGGGTTCTGTGGGAATTAAACTCTAGTCTTCTTCCTTGCAAGGCAAACGCTTTACCAACTGAACTATCACCCAGTCCCTTGTTTTGGTTGTAACCTTTTTAAAATCTCAACTTTCCATCTGCTCCTTGGAGAACACAGCCTCCTCCATACTTCTTTCCCGCTGGTGCAGGCTTTCTCAAGCCACCTCTGCAGGGATGCTGTGTGCAGAGCTCTGTCTCCTTACTGTGTGTAGACTCTGTCTCCTCACTGTGTGCAGACTCTGTCTCCTCACTGTGTGCAGAGCTCTGCCTGGCCTCACTGAACTCCTTCCCACCTAATCACAGAAATGGAGACCCTGCCACAGCCCATGGTGTCCCAATTCACATATTCATGTGAATTTGCCAATGGCTAAGAGAGTCTTTCTCTCTTCTGCTCTACTGCTCCCTATGCCCTCCTGAAAGAAACAGCACCACCTCTCTGACAGACAGATTGAGAAACCACCCTTCCCAAAGTCTGTTGCTTTCTGCATTTCACCATCCCTAGAGTGGGAGTCAGGCCCTGAAGGTGACAGGAGGGAGGAGTCCTTCGGGATGAAGGTGAGTACAAACCATACGGTATAGGAGTGGTGAGCCTGTGGTAAGGGAAGGTGTGTGTGTACAAACCATACGGTATAGGAGTGGTGAGCCTGTGGTAAGGGAAGAAAGGAGCAAGATTCATTCACAACTGAGCTGAGCTACCCTGAGGCTCAGCAGCTCCGACTCGGTGCTGGCCACCGCCACCTTCAGTTCTCAGGAGGAACTAGAAAACTGGCTTTGTAAAACGTCTGGAATATGATAGGAACATTGTGTGTGTGTGTGTGTGTGTGTGTGTGCACGCATGTGTGTGTAAGAAATATATCTCTATCATATTAAATATTAATTAAATAAATATCAAAATAGTAAAGTGAAAAAACAGACCCGGGAATGCTAGCCAGTTTTCCCAAAATCACAGAGCTGACAGGACCTGGAGGAATTTAGACCTAGAAGCTGTCTCTCCTGTGAGTTAAAAGGTTCTCTTTTCTGTCTCCTGATGGGAAATTACATTAAGATGCAAATAAAGGTCATTTCACAACAGGTTCCCAAGCCACAATGTCTATCACCTGTAGCGTCTCAAAACAAGTGATTTCTAGAGCATCTTCGGTAAGATTAGAGGTGTCTTTTGTTTCCTCTCGTAGGACTGTCTTAATGGCTGTGCCCAAACTAAGGACTATCTTTTAAATGCAAATGCCATGGGAGCCAGGACCACTAGGTTCACAGCCTGGCCAGTTCACTGGATTACTTTCAAAAGGCAATACTCCCAAGTGGCAGAAGACTCTCCAGAGGCAGGCCCTGACCAGGGAGGTTGATGAGGTGGGTCTCTGGATTCCCGGGGGCTGAGAGTGGGAAGCAAGAGCTGGGAAGGGCACTGAGGGGCATGGCAGGGGCGATAGGAGACACAGATCCAGGACACACACCACACTTCTGAGAAAGGTGAGACAAATGGGCCACAGGTACCATTTTTAGAGAAAGCAACCTCCCCTCAGTGTCATCTCGAGGGATTTGGAGGACAGTGCAACAGCAGGGCTAGGAGGAAGGAAGCCCCCCCCCCCCCCAGCTTCCCTCCTAGGCGGTCCTTTGAGCAGGCTTACTTTACCTCATCCTCAAGGAGGTCTTTGGGCTTGGGGGGAACGTGAGGCTTCTGCAGAGAGTTGGGAGCTGGCAGAGTGGAGGCCAGTCTTGTTTTTGCTGAGGGCCAGCAAGGCTTACTGGGGAGTGTCTTGCTGAAGGGTGGAGAGTGCCGCTGGCTGGATCGATTATCTTAAACAAACATAAAACAGCGCAGAAGAGACTCTAGGTCATTCATTGTGTAGAAACCATGGGGATCTAGAAAACACACAGCATGTTTGTAGCTGCAAAGGGTCGGTGTGGTGTCCTTAAAGGGGCCAAGTGAACAGGTAGGCAGACCTACCTGTTCTCAGGACCACACTGGGGCAGGGGAAGGGGAGTGATAAAAGCTCTCCAAGAGCTGAGAGTCCAACAGCCCACGAATCACAGTGGGTGGAACCAGGGAGTGAGGCTCTCACTTGTATTTACACACTAGATCCGTCTTGGAGGCTTTAAAAGTGGTCCCTCTCTGGGGCTAATTCTGCACTTCTGGATGAAGTCTATTGTGGTGGGTTTTTTTTAAAGTTCCTCAGGATCCCCAGGAGAAGACAGATGACCCTGCTTTGTCCAGGACTGTCCTTTTCAGCAGGTATCTGAGAGCCCAGTCTCTGAAGCCAGATGGATCTGGGTTCCTTCTGCTCTGCCACTGATTAACTGCACCTGTTTGGACCAGTTACAATTTCCCTGGCACTCCCTTGCTCATTTTAAAGCAGCAGATCACGCTATCCGCTTTCGAGTTACTGTAGGAATGAGAAAAACTGCAGAGAAGGCAGCAGGTGCTGTGTGGATGCCTAATGCATGGATCTGATACCAGCATGCTCCATAGACCTTCAGATACCCAGCCTGCCCAGCAAAGCTGTGAGCTGACTTCTCATTGGATCGACTTCTTTTCAGAAGTTCTTGGCATAGGGATGCCCTGGCATTCTCCATCTTAGGCAACACCCTGGCTTCCAGCAGGCTGCTGGGTTTCCTGCTTCTTTCTTTGACATCACCTTGCCTGACATAGCTTTCAGAACTTGCTTCTACTTTGCCTGAGGTATGTGCTCAACATTAAGACATCTGCATTGCTGAGTCTATCATTGCTAGTCTTATTTGTAGCTCTTGGATTTTTCCCCCCTCTTGTTTTCTTTTTTTCCTTTCTTTCTTTCTTTTTCTTTTCTTTCTTTCTTTCTTTTTTTTTTTTTTTGAGACAGGGTTTCTCTGTGTAACAGTTCTGGCTGTCCTGGAACCCACTTTGTACATCAAGCTGGCCTCAAACTGCTTGGCTCTGCCTCCCAGGTGCTGGGATTAAAGGCGTGTGCCACCACTGCCCGGTTGCTCTTGGTGTTTATATAGAATTCTTAATGCAATGTTTAAACCCACAAGAAGTAGCAAAACACAGAAAGCAGGCTTTGAAGAATTGAATTGTGGTCTCTGGTTTGCAATGTGCATGTAATACAGCCTCTTCCCTCTCGGGATCACTGCCATGAGTGAACCAAGTCACACACCTCAGTAAGGGCCTAACAGATTAACTGCGGAACACAGAACCAACAGCACCGCACCCTACGGGAGGCTGGGGAGAACAGCAAGGCTGACCTTGCTGCATACATGCAAGCACTGCCCTGGTTGTGGGCACACTCAATCCCCCCACCTTCAGAAACCTAGTCACCTGATGTGATGCGAACTTTCCTGTTCCTCCTGATGCCCTGCACAAGCCACCTAAGAACTCTACCACTGACCTGTGCCGCCAGTTAGCTTCTGCTTCGTTTGTTTTTAAACTATTTTTAATTTTGAGATAGGGCCTTACTAAGTTGCCCAACCTGGGAACTTGGGATCCTTCCTCATCCCCGCTCAAAAGTTAGGATTATAGGATTATAGATCCCTGCTACTACACCAGACTTCTTGATGAACTACAAGAGGCAGGCCTCAAAGCCAGACTTGTGCTATGTCCATTTGACCTAAGAGGTGGAATCCAGGTCCAGGGTACATTGGCACCCCTATTCCCGCTCAGACACCCACAGTCTAAATGGCCTGTGTGTAAAGCTGTCTGGCACCAGAGCAGAGGAGATTTAATGGACACTGAGGTCCTTGAAGCACACTGTTGTTCTGTCTGGGCTTCTCAGAAGTTTCAGAGCCTTGCATGAAGACACTCTCAGGAGAAAGAGGACTAATGTCCAGGTTGTTTTTTTCTTGGAGCTATAAGGGCACAGGGAGGTCAGCCCTTAGGATACACTTCCTTATCAGTACAGGCAACCTGTTTGTGCTTACAGTCTGGGGGGAAAACGCTCCCCATAAAATGAATAGAGCATAGCATCGTGCCCCCACACCTGGACTGCCGCTTGGAATTGAGAGTGGAGAAGGGCAGGGGACGGCAGGCAGCAGCTAGGTTTGCTCATCTCCCCTTCTGTGGTCCCAGAGTCCACAGTGACCTCACCTACATACTCGCCCCTGGTGAAGGGCAGGGCTGGATGAACCACCCTGGTCTGTTGCTCAGCGGGTGGCGGCTCATAGGAATCGTCGCCGGTCTCCTCCGCAGGCATCACGTACATCTCGGAGTCCGAATGTTCATCTGGATTTTCATAGTCACTATCCTGCAAATATAAGCGCCATGTTTGGCATCCCTGCAGGTGCCGCCAGATGGACAGGTCCTACCTTAGGAGGCAGGAGCGGTTCCTGCTGCGGGGGACAGGAAACTGAGACTGCGGGAGCCCTTTTCGCATCCGCCTGCCCCACGCAGCTCGCACCACAGCCACACAGGAGTCACACCGGGGCAAACACGGGACACTTGTCTCCTTTCACTTGTGATGTTCTGAAGATGTTCTTCCGTCTGCTCTAAAGGCTTTGGGAAGAAGCCTACATTTCATACTACCTGCAGTGGAGACCCACTCAAGTAAAAATAACGGCCAGGGGCATTTACCCAGTGGTTGTTAATTGTGGCTATTTGACTTTGGGAGTAGGTCAGACCCTACTCGCCAGTCCCCCCCCCCTCCCTTTTTTTTTACTTTGTGTTCTTCGCTCTGTGGCCGCTTTAAAAAATTACTTCATATAATTACACCATTTTCCCTTCCCCTTTCCTCCCTCCAAACCCTCCCATATGCCCATCCTTGCTTTCTTTCCAATTCTTAATTCAACCAACAAACTTTGCGCATATGTGATCTTGCGATGCCGCCAGCAGGGGGGCGCAGCCGGGACACTGGTTCCGCTAGACAGGGTTCTGGGAGGAAGTTTATGCCCAAATGCCCCGCAATGAAGTCATGCTTCCCCTTATTTTTCTTTTCTTTTTCTGCGGTTAAAGGAGGAGGAACTGCTGTCTTCAAAGACCACATCCACTCCAGGTGGTGAACACAAATTTGATTCTGAACACTGACCTGGATATCTGTATCGTGGGTCCTCATCCTACTGAGGGAGAGAGGGAATACCAGTCTGTCCTAGCCACCTCTGCTTCCTTTTATGTAAGGTAGGGGTGTGGTCTGTGTAGGATCCCTCACAGATCCAAACTCAGAGCATGCTAACACTGTAGAAGGACACAACTGTGCTGAAGAAAACTTGCCTAGTCCCGACAAGACTCAGGTCCCCATCAGTGCGGACTGCAGAGCCATTTGGAGACTTAATCTTTTTCACTCTGTGAACTAGGAAGCTGGGCTGATGGGTTTTTGGTAATAGCAGGTACTTTGGTAGCCAGCATCCTGGTTCTGAGGCCCGAAGGCCCAGATTTGAGTTTGGGAACTGCAAGCTAACCAAATATTCCGTTCTGGTTCTAGAGGCACCCGTGCCTAGCATTAAGCTCCTTTAAAAAAAATAGGATTTTGCTAAATAGCAATATGACCTCACACCCTCCAAGTAACCACGATTAGCCTTGAACCCTCAGTATTCCTGCCTCAGCCTGCTGAGTGCTGGAATATTATGTGTGTACCAGTTCTGTAGTAATTAATTCCTGTTTCCATGGCTCTCCGGCCCGGGAGTAGTGGGGAGCTTAGGTCAGAACTAAACACCAGTAAAGAACTATTTAAGTACTTCTGGTTTCTGTGTCTGTGAACTCTGAGAATGGGGTTAGAGTACCTACTTCCCAGGGCTGTATAAAGTGCTTGGCCTGGCATGCGGTCAGCACTGGTCAAGTCAGCTGCCGGTGACCTCACTGGTGCCTGCCTGGAAGAGGCTTTTCGTCCTTCTGGGCCCCTCTCCCTGTGATGTTCAGCTAGCCATCAGCATTCAGAAACAAGCCATTGGAGAGGACCCCCAGGAGGCTGGCGTGGCCCCCCATCCCATCCCAGGAGCAGACACTTACAAAGTCGTCTGACCACCGCTCCTCTTCCTCCGCAGGGCTGTCTGTAACAGGAGAGGGACACAGAGCAAAAGGCGTGAGCCCAGCTGGCCAGACCACCCGCCCCAGGCAGCCTCCTCTCCCGTGTGCCCGATGCTGCATTTACTTGACCTTGAACCGCAACTGCGGCCGTATCGTCATTCATGTTCGCTCTCTTTCTCAGACAGCTTACTTAAATCTCGAAGCATAGACAGAAGTCCTGTACAAGCAGAGCAACGGGGCCCTTTACCTAGGCCTGTCGCCTTTGTCAAAGGACATTAGTGGAATATTATACTTTTTTAAAAAAATAAACTCCGTGACTGTCAGATCCAAAGGGTAGCCCATTCCCCTCCAAAAGGGCAGGCCCACTAACTCATTCCAAAACTAAGTCTAGGCCCAGCTCAAACTGGACTGTAGGGGGATTTCTGGTGGTTAGATAGAAGCCAGTATTCCTCAAGAACTTGTGAAACTGGTTCCCATTTGCTAAAAGGAGTCATTTCCCTTACCTTTGGCTGAAGGGACAAAAGGTCTCTAATGACCAGCTGTATATCAAAGCCCATGCTGGCTTCCAGGCTTCTACAGTCCCTATTCACAAGTACTTGTTATACATTTCAAAGCCCTATCTTGGCCCTTCTCACCTCAGATTCCCACTCTTTCTAACCCAATTCTCTCTCTCTCTCTCTCTCTCTCTCTCTCTCTCTCTCTCTCTCTCTCTCTCTCTCTCTCTCTGTCTCTCTTTTTCTCTATCTCTCTCTGTCTGTCTCTCTCTCTCTCTCTCTGCCTCTCTGCTTCTCTCTCTGTCTCCCTCTGTCTCTCTCTCTCTGCCTCTCTTTCTGTCTCTGTCTCGCTCTGTTTGTGTCTCTCGTTTTCTCTCTCTATCTCTCTGTCTCTGTCTCTCTCTCTGTCTCTGTCTCTCTCTCACTCTGTGTGTGTGTGTGTGTGTCCCAGACAGCCCTGACCATGTCTGCTTTCTTTTCTCTCTCTTCTGAACTCTTTCAGATGCCACTATTTTTTCTCTCTTACACACAACACAACAAAACCCGTCCCCTTAGCCATACCATGGAGGGGTTGTGTTGGCAGTTTCTTTACTTCACCCTCTTGCAAACAAAGAGCAAAAGTAAGGGAAAGGGAAGGCCTTATTTGGCCCAATCACAGTCCATCGTTGAAGGAAGTCGGGAGAGGAACACAAGGCAGGAACCAAATCGCAGGCCATGGAGGAGCACTGCTTACGGACTTGCGCCCTGGGGTTACTGAGCTCGCTTTCTCATACAACCCAGGACCACCTGCCCAGGGGTGGCTCTATCAACAGCAGCCTGATCCCTCCTACATCAATCATTAATCAAGAAAATGACCCACAGCCACGCTCACAGGCCAATCTGATGGAGGCAATTCCTCAGTTTAGGCTCCTTCTTCCCATGTAATTCTAGCTTGCGTCAAGGCGACAAAAACTCCAGAGAGCAGCGCTGGAGCTTGACAGGGTCAGGATTTAGTGTGGAGACTGAGGAAGGGTGCTGGTGAAGCTGGCTGGAAGAGGTTCTTTTAGTCCAATCACCTAATGGCGCAAGAGCTCCTTTTGCCCAGGTGTGCGTTCATCTCTCCACAGGATCGACATGGGACCCATGGTCTTGGCTCAGTCATGGCCGTCCTGTGCAACTTTGGACAGTTTTGGTTTGTTTTGTTTTGTTTTGTTTTTTTGCCTCTCTGGCTCTACTTATCTTGGAAGTCTAGACTGAATGATGTTCCAGTCCTTTCCAAATTTTAAAAATACCACGAGCCCAAGTTGTTTCTTCTTTTTTAGTTCTGTGTGGAGCACTGGCTCTGAATGGTTCTGTGTGGAGCACTGTCTCTGAATAGTGCTCATCTATGGCGGTTTTGTGGGTCTCCACCAGGGTGAAGGTAAACAGATGTGGAGCAGCAGGTGACGGGGGCTCCACTCAGGACCCTGGGAAAGGGCACAGGCAGTGTCAGGGCTCCTTTCTCCAGGGATGAAGGGTGGCTGTGTGGACTCTGGGCTTCCATGGCAGGCCGCACCTGGGAGCCCCTCCCTTCCTCTCCGTTGTCCTCTCCTCTCTTCCTTTTAAACACATAATCCTATTATTTTATCACTGTCTAATGGGGTATGCGTGCCTATGCGTACACATGGACCAGAGGCAGCCATCAGTATTGATCTTGGCCCTAGCTTTTAAGACAGAGTCTGACACTGAAGCTGGTGCTCACTGTTTCAGCTAGGCTGGCTGGCCAGGCATACTGTTATGCCCAGGCTTTAGGTGAATATTCAGGATTTGAATTCAGATCCTTTTGTTTTCACAGCAAGCACTGTACCCACTGGGGCATCTCATTAGCCCCAAAAGAATTAGTTTTAAATAAAAGCTATTTTAACTGACACATGAAAACAGAAAAAGTATACAGTTCAATAGGTTAATACGTGGAATTTCAATATGCATATCTATTGGATAATGTTTAAAGCAGGGTAAACACAGCTGCTCTTCAAACAGGACTTCCAGCACCTCTCTTTAGTTATTGGAACACCTCTCTCTAGTTACTGGAACACCTCTCTTTAGTTATTGGAACACCTCTCTTTAGTTACTGGAAACCTCTCTTTAGTTATTGGCACTCATTATACACTGTTCTGTACAACCATCTGTGAAAGCACACCGGCATTCCATGCTCCCACAGGACCCACTGCCCAGCCTCCTTCACCACACCCTCGCCAGCTTCCGGTAACAACCACTCTGACGGTTGGTGTCCCAGTTCCGTTTGGTTCTGTGAGAGCCCCCATGATAGATTTCACATGCAGCGTGAGAATGTGCCGGATTTGTCTTTCTGTGCCTGGCTTACTTCAACTTGGCATAGTGACCTTCCATTTGTAACCTCCACCCAGGTTACAAATGACAGGATTCCATTCTTTCAATGACTGAATAGTATTCCATTGTGTGTGAGTACCACATGTCCCTTGTCCACTCATCAGCATGGGGCCTCAGGTTATTTCCCATGCCATGGCTCAGCAGCAAACACAGGAGCTCAGGTGTCTCTTTGGCATACTGCCTTCCCTTTGGCCATTCACCCTGTGGCAGGGTTGCTGGATCACGGTGAAACTCTAGTTTCATTCTTTAGGGGAAGTCTCTACTTTCTCCACCATTGCTCAGTCCCCTTCCTGCATGACACCAGTGGGGACAGGTTAGTACTAGGCAAACTTCTGTGGGTGGATGGCAGTGTCTCCTAACAGTCCCTGGAGGTCAGGGACAAAGGGTACAAGTAGAGAAGCCTTGTTCAGATCTGATCCCTCAGGGGTTTGTGGAGTGACCAGAGGATTTCTGCAGTGACCCCTAAAACTAGGGACCCTTCCCTTGGAGGTTCTCTTTATCTGCAGAACCGAGACAGATCTTCCCCACCTCCATGTCTGTCTGTCTGTCTGCCTGTCTCTTGTCTCTTCATGTAACCTTTGAGGTGCTTGGACACTCCTTGCATTGAGAAGCTTTGGGGCTGATTTCTGAGACTGTTCAGGCAGTTGAATAGGAACCCTAAGACACAGGGGAGCAGTTGCAATTGTCCCTGGGGCACAAGCAGCTAGGGGTGTGGGAGGACAGGGCAGGGAGGGACCAGCATTAATGCTGGTTTTTCCAAAAGGAGCAGGAGTTAGAGTGTGTCTAACAAGCTCCCAGCTGACTGCTGCATCCATAGTAGGGATCAGACTATGGAGCAAGCCACGTCCCTGTGTTCCAAGAGTTGTTGATATACTGCCATCAAGGGTGCACGGACAGACTGGGGCTGTAGATCAGTGGCACAGCCTTTGCCTAGCTTATATGAGGCCCCTGGCTTTGAGCCATAGCACTGCGTGAGAAAAGACTAAACGGAGCATTTCAGGAAGAGGTCAGGTGTTTGAGGTCAAAAAGAACACTTTTGGGTGTCCTGCAGATGGGAAGATATGCATTCCTAAAACCAAGGAATGGCAGAGATGCTTGCTGTAGCATCAGGACCCGGGCTCCAAAATCTAGCAGATCTCCCTTCCTCAACTGACAAGGATGAAATGAAGGGTGACGCCCATAGTTACACAGCCAGTTAGTGGCCAAATGTGAAAGGACCTTGTCACTTGGCCCTATGACCTGGGACCGCTCTCTGGTGAGATAAGGAGAACTGTGTTCTTTATAACCATCACTGCTCTGATGGAAGATACGAGTTAGGAATGGACTTAGGTGGGTGTTGAGGGCCGCTTAGAAACTCCGTCCAAGGACAAGCAAGAGATGATGAGGGGGACTGAGCTGTATCCATGGCAACAGAAAGGAAAGATACTTGAAGGCTGGAGTCAGTGGGATTCAGCAGAAGATTCACTCCTCCAGAGGACGAGGAAGAGTAGGAATTGACATGTGGTTTAGGCAAAAGGATGAAAATGTGTCGGATCTTTTCTGCCTTTCACCAAAGAAGAAAGCAGAGCAGGAGGAGGTCATGGGGAAGGGATGAGCAAGCAACAGTGAGGAGAGACGTCCCTCTCACAGATGGTTAGGCTTCTGAGAGCTGACTGAGGTACAGCATTTGTGTCTGTCATCTCTAATACTCTGTCCATCTATGAAGGACAGAAATGCTTGCACATTTGCCCCATAGCACTTGAATTAGAACTCACCTCCCCAGAGAGACTCTCCCAGACTGCCTAAGTCGTCCCCATCTACGATTCTTGGCCACTGCCCTGCCAGTTCCTTCCTATTCTTCATAAAAACCATCATGCTTGGGAAATTATTTTTAAAGTGTGTGTGTGTGTGTGTGTGTGTGTGTGAATGTAGATGTGTGTAAGGACAATCTTGGAAGTCATTCCTGGCCTCACCTTGTTTGAGATGGGGTCTCTTGATCATTTCTGTGTATGCTAAGCTAGTTGGCCCACGGGCTTCTGGGAATTCTGCTTCTGCCTCCCATCTTGCCACAGGAGTGCTGGGATTACAGGCTGCTACAGCACTCCACTTTATGTGGTTTCTGGGCACTCAAACTCAGATCCTCACACTTGTATGGCACGCCCTTAAGCCACTGCCACACAGGACAAACTCATGACGTATTTGATGAGTGGGTCAAATCTGAAGCACCTGGAGATGTTTGTTTTACAGAATAAACTGTTCAAGTGACACCAATTCTGAATTGTCTGTGTTGATGTCTTCGAGATGTCAAAGCTTGTACTGAGTGGCTATTTGGTGATACAGGAGAGCCTTACATCCAGCCGGGGCTGCCCATCTCTTGGGGACCAGGTAAGCTTTGGAAACTATCATGGGAGATGGCCTCATCTGTGAGGGTACTGCTGGTGGGGGTAGGGATAAGTCCAGGCTGGATGTTGGGCTGAATCACCTCTAGTACTGCTCTTAAACAAAAGAATCCATCTTTCCAGGATTTTCCCATCATACCTGTTTGAATACTGAAAAGGTTAGAGTTGTTTCCCTTCTCCATCACTGGAGAGAATGGTTTGTTCCTATTTAGCTATGCTTGGGAACAGGTTTCCTTGACTTATGAATCAGGTAGATTTTGAAATCCCTGGACAAAAAATCCCTATTTCTTAGTTCCAGGCTGCACAGGAACCCCAGGCTATCTGTCTGAGAGTGTGTGGTTCTGTCTATTCCAGACAAAGGTGTTGGCTATTTGACTTTGGTTACCATTGCTATAAACATACCGATCTCAAGCTTAGTCTTTTTGTGGTCCAAGTTGGTTCTAATTGAAACAGAGATGTGTATGTGCACGTGTATGCAGAGTTCAGAGATCGATCTTGAGTCCATTCCTTAGGGTCCCTCCCCCATTTTTGACAGAGTCTCTCTCTGGGAATGGTTTCCCAGCAAGACCCAGGGATTGGCCTGTCTCTATCTCCCCAGTTCTGGGACTATATATGAAGGCTATCATGCACAAGTTTTTGTTTGTTTTGTTGAGACAAGGTTTCTCTGTGTAGCCTTGGCTGTCCTAGAACTAGCTCTACAGACAAGGCTGGCCTCGATCAAACTCAGAGTTCCTGCCTGCCTCTGCCCTCTGAATGCTGGGATTAAAGGCATGCACCACCATGGCCAGTTTTTTGTGCAGTTTCTGGGGATCAAATTTCTGTCTTCATGCTTGCATATCAAGCACTTTACTGACTGGACCATCTCTCTGATTCCTTAAATAGCTTTTATGCAGGATACATTAGTCCCCACTGCCATGTACTGCACAGGACTGTGCTTTCTTGCTACATGAAGTTGTAGATATTTCTAACATCATCTGTCTTCCCTTTGTGGCAATCAATTCCATGGCAGTGGGAACTATATTCTACTTGCAAGTATGGCACTTCTATTTACTTTGTATATGCCAGGTACGCGGGAGCTGCATAGACACACAGATGGATGTACAGATGGACAAATAGATGATGGGTGGGTAACTGGTCAGATGAATGCGTGGGTGGGTGAGTGGACAGAAGAATGGGTGGGTGGATAGATGAATGGGTGGGTGGATAGATGGATGGGGGAGTGAATGGGTGGGTAGAGTATATTTTCACTGTAGTGGAAGGCCTCATTGATATTGTCATTCTTAAAATCAGGCTGAGAATCCTTTGTTTTCAAATAAGTACAACGTATTTCCTTCCCCAAGAGATAAATGTGCACATTAGACAAAAGCCAGCTAATGTATTTTAGAAATACTCTTACCTAATGCATAGTCCCTTCGAGGAACACTTGGAGGTCCTTTGACTTTTAGCCTGTAGATGAACCAGTAGAACAAGGGTCAGTGGGCAGGACAAGCCAACACAGAGATAAGAGATAGATAACTACTAGAGTATCTTCTGGGCTGCTCACACTGAGAACTCATTGTATTGTAATCTAACGAGGTCAGTATTATTCACAGTGCACTGGGAGCCTATGAATTGGCTCAAGTTAGACTGAGCCGTGGGACAGCTCTACGAGGCCCAAAGACCAGTTAACACTGCATTCAATGATTCAAGAAAAGTCGTGCTCATTGGCTGATGGGAGAGTAAGAGAAGATGAACGGTGTTTTAATGGTTCACAAATGCTTTTTTAAAAGGGACAAAATCATCAATAATAAGTATTTTGCTCACAGGTTAAACAAAAATCATTTTGTACCATTTAAAACATGACATATGGTGCCTAGGCTATGACTTAAAGGTAGAGCACTTGCCTAGCAGGTGTAAGGCCCTAGATTCAATCCCCAGCATTAGGAAAAAATGAAACAAGACCCATAACAAATAGGCAAGCATCATCTCAAGATGGAAAGTTTATAGTAATTTACTAACTAATAATAATTACCCATTTTACTTAGGAGTGGTATCCTTAATGAAATTTAAAGTACACACAGACAAAACTTATATCCTGTATCATTTAATTACTAAAACATTATTTCCTTTTATAGAAGCAGTATATATGGTAATAATTACATATATTTATTTCATTTTCAAAAAGTCAACATAGGAATTCATAGTTTATTTTAGAAATACACAAAGCCCCTTGCAAACCAAAATTACATATTATAAAAATAACAATATTTGGTTTTGTATAAGAATCCTGCCTTTCCCATCACAGGTTCTCCTGTCCGTGTTTGCACCCCATTCTCATCACACACGAACAATTCTCTTCAAAATAAACTCATAGTGAAGTCTAGAAAGACAGCAACCAAAGGATTGCAGGGAGGAGCAACAAGAAGAAAGGGGGCCTGGTGTCCAGGGACAGCAACATTTCAAGACACTTACTCCTACCCACTATCATCCTGTAGTCACAAGAGTCACAGCTCAACTCATCTTGGAATAAAGGACAAACTTAAGGATGGATCCTGGGGAGATTTGTCAGTAAGTGCTTGCTGCACAAGAGCGAGGACCCGAGTTTGGATCCGCAGCACCCACCCACATAAAAGCTGGGCATGGTGGTGCCTGCCTATAAATCCAGTGCTGGCGGCTGGACACAGGAGGATTTGGGGTGCTGTCTGGCCAGGCAGTTTAGCTGAACTGATGAACTGCAGTTCAGTGAGAGATGCAGCGTCAGAAAACTAAGGTGGTTTGTAGAGGTCCCGGGATGTGGGACTCTGGTGTTCACACACATGCACATAGATGTACACATGCACCTACATGCACATGTGCACACACCCACACAAATGTGTACACGCAACAGAGGGAGAGATAGAGACAGAGACAGAGCAAGAGAGAGAGAATGACCACGATGACAAGCCAGGAATAAAAGGTGTGCTTTCAAAGTAATGAGTATCTGGCAGCTACACACTAACCCCAGGATTTCACAGGTCTTTCCACACATGGTCCATTACAGTGTTTGTGACAGGAACCAGTGTGCTGGACGGTGCTTCCTCCTCTCAAGGGAGAACTTGTTGTCTGACTTCACAGGGGAACCCAACTGCAGGTCACTTTGAGACGAGGAGCCCTTGACCTTCATGGTAATGGCCATTTTCCAGGCTAAGAAGAAACACGGCTCATCAAGAAAAGCACTTTGGGGGCTAGAAAGATGCTGGGCGGGGGCAGGGTAAGAACATTTGCTCTGCCAGCGTGAGAACCTGAGTTCGAATCCCTGTCATCCACATGAGAAGTCAGCATGTCTGTGCATCTCTCTAACCATAGCATCGAGGAGCAGAGAGACTGGCACATCTGGAGAGCTCTCTGGTCAGCCAGCCTAGCAGAAGCAGTGAGCTCTCAGTTTAGCAACACCCTCTGTCTCAAGGCAATGACATGGAGAGCATAAAGGAGGTCACCTAACACACACACACACACACACACACACACACACACACACACACACACACACACGGAAAAGTGCTCTGGGGACAGAATATTTGAAATAGAAACTGTCAGGAACATTTGCTGTTCCATGGCTGCTGTCACATGACTGTCACACATGACAGAAACCTCATACCACAGAGAACACTGGAGTTGCCAATCTGGCCACTGGGGCAGCCCACAATTGCTAGTGACTCTGACAGTGACTAGTGTGGGGAATGAGATCCCATAGCAGAAAGGATAAACAGAAATGACCACATGACTCTGCCAGCCCCCGGACAGAGCCTGAAGACACACTGTCCTCCTCTACGATGACCCCCTTCCCCTCACAAAGGACCACAGCCGCTACCTGTCAATCCCCATGTGTGCCGAGGCTCCTTCCTGTACATGTTAGGTTCTGAAAATGATTGGAAATAAATACGCTGTTCTACAGACACAGAGAAACGAACTGAACTATTGGGGGAGGGAAATAGTTATAAAACTTTAACTTCCACTTAGAAATTTTATTTCAGAAATTTAGATTATTGGAGTACTTGAAGTCTGAAAAGACCCTCATTAGAGTCTTATCTGTGCCAATGAATGGAAAGGAATGGCTAGAGAATTTTGATTGATACGAAACCATCACTCCAAAACCACTTTACCGGTCAAAACTCACACCCTCCCCTTTAACACACCCACAATCTATAATCAGTCTGTCTGATTATAGTTCTGTTACAATAGACTACTAGCCAGGACTTACAAAAATATGGGTTTTTTTGCATACTAATAAAGACGTCCATGATAAAACCAGCACCACAAGCAGGGAGAATGGTATATGCAGCTGCTTGAGATGAAAATGTCTCACCCAGGATGATGCTTGTTTTGGGGGAGGGGTTAGTGGGAGAAGATGAGGAAGTGAGCATTCCTGGTATGTTTCAAATTCTTTGACTTTTTTTCATGGTGAATCAGAATTATATTAATTTTAAAAAAAGCAAATTTGAAGACTAAACACTAGGTAGAGTGTGACAGCAAACACCTTTAGTTCTAGCACTCACCAAGGAGGCAGAGCCAGGTTTCTCTCTGTGAGTTTGAGGCTAGCCCTGTCTACATAGTAAATCCAGAGCCACCCAGGGCTACATATGGAGATCCTATGTTAAAAGACAAAACAAAATACTGTTTCTCTTTTCGTCTTGAGTTAGATTTTGAGTGGTAAATGCAAAAAGTATGTACAATTTCTGGTGTGTGTGTGTGTGTGTGTGTGTGTGTGTGTGTGTGTGTGTGTATAGACTGAATCCAGGGTCTTATGCATGCTAGGACCCTGCAAGTGCCTTAAAACTGAGTTAAAATTTCAAGCAGTTGGGATTTCAGTTGTGGTTTTGTTTGTTTGTTTTTGTTTTTTGACATAAGGGGCTCTGGGGTTTTGGTGCACTTGAAAATGCAAGATTCTGGCTTTACTTCTTCCAGAGTTCATCGAAACATGATTTTAAGGCAGCAATTTAAAAAGCAGACATCAAAATGTAGGTCAGCGATATGACATCACAAGAAAGCAGGCATACTTGCCTGGACCGTACTTAGACAAGGCTGAACAAGAGAAGCCAGACTGAGTCTCCTGAGTTCTTAATGGCTTCTTCAGGTTCATCCCTGGGCCTCAGCTCATGGTCACCCAAGTGGTTTTCCTGATAAGTGCCCTGAGTGGGCCCAGCACACCTCTTCATGGAGATGGAAAATTGCAGACCCCCAAGTCCCAGTTCATTCATTCACTGCCCTGTTTCCAGGATGTAGACCTAACCACCTAGTAAACAGGGGAGAGGCAACATGGTCCTCACTCGATGGCAGAGAGCTTTGCTCTCCATTCAGCACAGATCAACTTCTTTCATATAAATTGTTAAGGTGGAAGCTTCACCCCAGCCTCTGGCATCCATATACCCAAAGAGTCTGGGATGATATGGTAAAAGCTTTGCCCCCGTCGCTGGTATTCATATAACCAAAGAGTCTAGGGTGTTATGGTGGAAATTCCACCCAAGCCCTCTCCCCCATCTCCCTCCAAACCCTGCTGCATCTCAGAAAGCCCACCAAATGATGATCCCCTCCCCCAGAGTTACTTAAGACCACTCCCACAGGGTATTTAAACTGCCCTCCAGAAACTAGACTGGTGGCTTTTCTGGTCTCCCTTTCCCTTCTCCTCTTTGTGGGGCTGGAAGGCCACCCAGGAGTGCTGTATCCATTAAACTTGGGCTTTTTCTAACTTGATTTGATTTGGTCTGATTTAGATTGCTGCATCGGCAAAGAGGCTTACTGGGGTCTAGAAACTTTTCATAAATAATCGAGACTACTTACTTTTTTATTTTATCCATTATTCCACCTTCATTGTTCTTAATATCATGGACCATCTTTTGAAGCTGTCTGTAAAAAAAAATCACAAGCATAAAATACTAACATCTAAGCTGATTTTTGCAATACAGTTTTACCTTCATTAAAACCAAAGGTAGTGGTCCTATTTGAAGCACAGCTAACCCTCAGGGCTACTTTGTCATTCCTAATAGGCATTCTAGAAATCACTACCAGAAATTGAATGGCTGGAGCTGGAGATGCCACTCGTAGTAAGACAGATGTTTTGGATATACAATGCTTCATACCGGTCACTGGAAAAAGAATTCTGAGAGTGGGAATGTAGCTCAATTGTAGAGTACTTGCCTAGTGTGATAAATGGCTTTACGTCAACGAGAAACAAACTACAGACCTCTGGGAAGAGGGAACCTCAGAAAATGTCCCACAACATTGGCCTGTGGGCAAGCCTGGGGGGGTATTTTCTTGATTGATAATTGATGTGGGAGGGCCCAATTCACTGTGGCAGGTAGTCCTGGGTGCTATAAGAAAGCAGGCTAAGTAAGCCACGAGGAGCAAGCCAGTAAGTAGCATTCCTCTATGATTTCTGTTTTAGTTCCTGCCTCTGGGTTCTTGCTCTGACTTCCTTCATGATAGAGTGTGACCTATGACTATTTTAAATTAAAACACATGTCAAGTGAAAATAAACCAGTTCAGAACGTCTACATACTGTCTGGTTCCACCTGTGTGCGTGACACTGTAGAAAGGGGAAAGCTGAAGAGATGGCAAAAGATCAGTGGCATCCACAGGCGGGAAAAGGTGGAGCAGGAAAGAAACATCTATAAGGTTCTGCAATAGTAAATACATGAAGTATATATGACTGTACAAGTGATACTATGGAAGGTATTATGGAAACAATACTAAAAATGGCCCCTCTTAATTCCATTCCCCACTAGTAACATTCCATGAAACAGCTGTCCAAATTCTAATGGCTAATGCATAGAAACATTTAATTAATAAATTTGAGGACATCTGTGACCTTATATTTATTCTTAATATATGTATGTGTATATATGGTTCCCTCTAAACATATTCAATTTTTGAGTCAGTTGTATTTTTATCTCAATAGACACATAAAGGTTGAATATATTTATGGGGTCCATATATACACATTGTGCAGGGTTCACATCAGGCCAAATGTTACAGATCTCAAGCAGTTATCATTTCTCTATGGTAGAAACAAACTTTCCTTTTTCCTAGAATATCAGAACCTACTTGTACTATCAAAGTATAGTTGCTCACACTTACAGGCTGATCCCATGCTCAGCAGTAGATGGCCAACACAAAACTGACTCAGTCATAGTGCTTTGTACCTTACAGGTCTTTTGGTTATTTATATCGTTTCTGATTTTGTGTTTATGAGATTTCTGTGTGTGAAATGTGTGTGACTCTGTCTCCGTGTATGTGCCTTGTGCTTTTCTTTGGTTCTTTTTGTTTCACCTATCCTGGTTTTTATTTTATTTCTTTTCTTCTTCCTCTTTTTTTAGATGCTTGTTTTCTGCAAGAGAGAAAGAAAGGGTGTATGCCCATAGCCTTGTCATGGCAGTTGACTTCAGGGTGTCAACCCACCAGGAGCCTAACCCCCGATGGGTGAATCTCCAAGAAACAAGGCCCAGAGACCACAGACTCCAGAAGTCTTTTGCTCTACTCTGTCTTTACATGTTTGCTGCTGCCATCTTTCTTTAGTGTCTGGCATGGTGTGAATGGGTGTGGGGAGATCCCCACTGTCTGTACTGTAGTGTGTTTATCTCATGGAAACATTCCATCATACTGGGCATTTTCACCTGTGGATTATTATAAAGATGATTTCTTCCTAAGCTCTACTGTTTAATTGATAATAATAACATTAGTTTAAATAGAGTTCTGATGATAAAAATGAAACAAGGAAGTGTCACACAGCTAGAACAGATGAACTTCTATTGAAGATCCACACAGACTATGACTTGAATTAATGATTAAGAAAAACAATTGAGTCCCAGTATCCCAGCTAGTTTAAATTCTAATCTTAATGTTGGGTGATGTGTTCACAGGTTTCGGAGAGCATCATAGCTGAAACAAAGCTCTGAAAATAACTTAAAGTTAGATTAAGATGGTTTTGCTAAATAGCTTTGAGGTGAAAACCTAAGAAGACAATCTAAAGTTTTAGAAAGGCACACAGTTGAGTGAGGACCTCTTTAAAGTCAGGGAACAAGAACAAAGCAGCCTCGTTATCATTAACTGACAACAGGCCTTTCTTGCTTGGATTCTCAATAAGAAACTATAATGAGTGGGCATGCACCCTAAAGATTTAAAGTAGAGCTGACTGATTGTTTTTCAAGTATAAAAGTTTAGGTTTGATTCCCTTAAGATTCCTTATAAAATTGCCTTCCAAGTAAGTAATAAAGTGATTGACTTACTTTGTAATCACAATATACAGTCTGCCAGTAAAAGATGGCTGAGAAAAACATCCTCTGCTTGCTCACATTCTTTTAATCTCTAACAGGTTATTTGGATGTAAACATATGTGTGTTCTTGGGATGACTTTGTTTTAATCATGTAAGGGAGATGAAAAATACATTTTTACCTGTATCATTATAATCACTCACTTGGAAAATAGAATGTAATTACATTGTAATTCCTATGTTGCCTGAAAGACTTTGTTGGGGTGTATAGGCTGTAGAGAAGAGAATATACTAGAAGAATAAAGGAAAGAAACCATCAAGAGATAGTGTGTGAGTGTGGTGTGTGTTTTTTCCCTTACCCCCTCAGATAAAAATGTCACAGTACACCAATTAGTGGATTTTCCTTTGAGCCTGACTGCTGGAGGCCAGTTCCTAAGGCACCAAAAGGTGTGGATTTGGGTGGGTGGGGAGGACCTGGGAGTTGTGGGGGTGGGGAGACTATAATCAGAATATATTATATGGGGAAACGAAACCCATTTGCAATAACAAGGGGGGAAATAAAACCCTGTAATTTATCAATTATCAATCACTAGTTCCCCATCCCTCTTAATTTATCAATTATCAATCACTAGTTCCCCATCCCTCTTAATTTATCAGTTATCAATCACTAGTTCCCCATCCCTCTTAATTTCTCAATTATCAATCACTAGTTCCCCATCCCTCTAAATTTATCAGTTATCAATCACTAGTTCCCCATCCCTCTTAATTTATCAATTATCAATCACTAGTTCCCCATCCCTCTTCCCACGCTTCCTTACCCATCCCATTATGTTTTTAACAACTGAATAATATTCCACCATTTATGTGCATCACATTTTGTTTTTCTATTCATTGGCTGTGGACTCTTGGGTTGTTTCCATTTCTTTGCTCCTGTGGCTAGTGCTATAGTAAACATGGGAATGTAGCTGTCTCTTTGACATACTGACTTCATTTCCTTCAATATGTCAAGTAGTGGGGTTGCTGCATCATATGGTAGTTCTATTTTTTTCTTTAATTTTTGGGGGAATGTCCATGCTGCTTTCCATTATACTAACTACTGAAGTATATTCCCACCATACTTTCCTCCACACCCTTGTAATCCTATGTCATTTGATAGTAGCCATTCTAACTGGAACAAAGTGATGCCTCAATGTCCAGCAAACAGAATGTTCCCAGCCTTCTGTTTCAGTCAACAGCCTATCGCCCCATCTACCTTCAGCTTGGGAGAAGAGCAGGAAGGGAGAGCTGTGGTTGCTGGTGGCCCTGCCTTCTGCCTTTATCTCTACTCAGCAGGTATGCCAGCCAGGACGGTTCCTGCCTGCTGGGTGTCCCTGCACCTGGGCCCAGCATGGAACATCAACCCCACAAGTCACAGGCATCTCAACTTGTCTTCCCCAGTAAGTGTGTGGGCAATCTCATTACAACTTCCCCACGGAAGACAGGCTAAGCTAAAGAAGTGGCCTTATTTAGGCTTGAGGGTTAGAATCACCCAGTATGTTCTTTAATCATCTTGATATGTTGACCTCACTCCAGACCACTGAACCCAGAGTCATTGGCTCTCAAGTGTCTCCAGTGTGTAGCTGAGCCTGAGAACCTCAGACAGCATTATCATGGTAGGAGAGCCTTGAGCACCCCTCCACACACACACACACACACACACACACACACCATAGCCCTGGGGATCTGGTCTGTGAAAGCACACCAGGGAGGACCACAGCCAATCTTCAGAAGATCCCTAGGTATTCAAGGGGAGACAAATTCTGGAAGGATGGTTCGTGGGGCACCAAGGTGTGGGGCCTTAGGGAAAGCAGTCATACCGCAGTGTGGCCAGTCACTAAACAGGAGTCCAACAAAGCTCACATTTGACAAGATTCATGCCCCATTGTCTCTTACTAAATACAGAAGGTGATACAAAAATGGGAGCATCTGCCACAAGCATATTTTTTAAAGGCTAGCTGAAAAAATTTAAAGGTGTGTGTGTGTGTGTGTGTGTGTGAGTGTATGTGAGCATGTGTGAGAAAGTGTGTGAGTGTGTGTGTGTGTCTGTGTGTGTAAAGCATCTTGCTTTTCTTATAGCTCCGCTGCACTCACTGGACCATGAAGAGGGGACTTAGCACCTTGGCATTTCCCTCACTTCACTTCCCAGAAGAAAACAAATACGAAGCAACCAGCTCAGAGAAAATCCCTTTGTGGGCTGGTTTTTGGATTAACAGAATCTCAAAGGGAAGCAAATCCTGCAAAGTTCTTGTGTTTCATGCTTCTGGAGCTGTAGGGCTAGCCCTGCCTGGTGAGCTGGTCAGGACCCAAGCGTGCCCCTCCCTACCTGGAAAACGGTGTGCCAGGCTTTGAGACCCCCCCACTCTGTGCTGTTCCCTTCTTCATGAGCTTGCAGTCGCTCCCCAGTTTACTCTGAGCCTCGCCTGACATTTTCATCTTGGCTGATCATTGCTGGAGCTCATTCTGATCTCTCACGAAGCCTGTCATCTCAGGCACTTTTAGGACCTCTGCACTGATACAAACCGATAGCTTGGTGTCTCCAGCTACTTGTTCCTAAGGTTAATTTGGAGCAATATTTTCTGTTATCCTCTCTCTGTGTCT